GTTTGAATCAGAGAGTAGAAAATAAATCTATGAAAAAATACTTAATTCGACAAGACAAGGTCTTGAACGTAATAAATTATTTCAATTGCGCTAAATTATTAAGCCACGGGTCGCAGCTACGGCTGCTCTTGAGGCTTAATTATCCTGGGCTCATCTGTAAGATACTAAAAATTTGTAAGGTTTAAAGCTAACTTTAGGGGTCTCTATAACTATTGTAACATGACATTAAGCTCACTTTGTACACTTTTCCAGATCGATTTTTAAAGTAGGAAGTGTGCAGAACGCATGAATGTATTCCACTCTGCTTGACGTTTAGGTCCATCACTGAAAATTTAGTTTGACACTGATGAAATAGAAATTCAAGCAAGTGAGAATGGGAGAAATCGAGAGAAACGGATTAGATATATGTTCTCAAGCTAGATGTAAACGAATTCCCTTCCTAATAAAAAATCTGTTTAAAAACGACTAAAAATCGAGATTTCGGTCGGAAACGGAGGAAGAAATGTATTGTAAATTCCCGCTAAACAATGCGCGTCTGCGTTATTTCGGAGTGTCGTAGTGAAAAATAGAGAAGATCGTCAACTTTTCTCGTATGGATTTGTCAAACATTTCCATCTCTGTTCTATTTTTAAGCTAAAATATACAGATGTAACTGTTTAATACTTGTCTTTTTTCTCACAGAACCTGATCGCGATCACACTTGAAAACCAAAATTTCGATATTCATTCGAATTGAAAATCTTTGAACCGGAATTATGTACAAACACAGGGAAAACAAGTGAAAAAAGAGAGCCCACAGAAGACAATTACCTAATTACACATATAGAGATCGATATCATGTCGAAAAGTTGGAAAACTGGGCGGTGGCGGAGGATGGAAAAGTGAATGGAAGCTTTGGCAAAACAGGGAACATTCGATAAAAGCTTTAAAAATGCTATACAAGAGAAGTAGAACAAAACCAGTGAAAATGATATTATGACTGAACAGAGAATATATCGGGAACGCTGGATGATCGGCTTTTGTATGATGGTGGGTGGTCCATGAAGTCAGCACTGCAACGTCGACTCTCGGAAGACGCTTCGGCAGCCATCAGTTTCTCGAGTTTTTCGTGAACATCGCTAGGGATTTTTTGTGGTGATGATGGCTCTGCGCATTCTGGAAAAAAGTATTCAGTGAGTGAAAACTTTATTGAATTACTATTTTTTAGTTACCTCCTGTCTCCAAATCCTTCTCCTTCTTATTTCTATCTCTTCCAGTGAACCAGTTAGCCAATTGCTCCAATGGACTCTTCTCATTTTCTCGACGAGGTAGAACGATGAAAAGGGAGAGTTGGACGATAGCCAAGAACATTCCAATTCCATTAGGGATCTAAACATTATTTCAAATTTTACATTTTAAGACCCGAAGTTCTTACAATTATATAAATGTCTTGAACCAAATTTCCGTAGAGGCACCATTGGGAAGAAACGAGGAAATTGGCCACGCACATAGGAAGTGGAAGTGTAGAGACTTCGCGGTTTCGAAGGACGACCCCCTGGAATTTTTTTTTTTTGATTTTCGGTTGAGTACTGAAGTACTGAAATCATTGTTCTAGGTACAGCAGGTACTTTATATGTCACGTGGGGATGAGATTGACAGGTTCTCTACATCTTTTTCAAAGAAATCATGTTTATAGCATATTTCCTTATCAATTCAATTAGGTGAAAACGTGACAGATGGGCTGAGAATTAATTCAGGTCGTCTAGAGAGAGAGAGAGAGGAAGAAAAAAGATCATAGACTTTTGAAAACTGCAAATTTCATACTCACCAATCCTGCCAACGGGGCTCCAAAGTTCATGATGTTGAAAGTCATGCAAATGATGCCTAGGTAATCAAGATTTGGCTTAAACGCGATCCACACAACCATTCCAGTGATTGTAGAGGTGACAAGAATCAGTTGACATGTGAAGGTTTTCTGGAAAAACATCTTTTATGTGGATCGTAAAGACATCCACAAAATATGTGTCATATTTTGAAATTCCCAATGTTCCCAGTCCTCAATGTTCGAAAAACCGAAACAATGTCAAAAATTCAATCAACCATGAATACTCGGAATTTTATATATAATTTGACCAAAATTATTGACTATTGAAACAGAAAAATCGTCTTTGACCTAACTTTATTTTTTGAAAAATGTTTGAACTTCCATCTGACCCACCTTAGGAAGTGAATAAATAAGGAAAAAGATACAGTATACTGCCATACAGAAGACACCAACTACGTTGACTATGATCATAGTGTAATCCATTTTGAGCAGTCCGTATCGGAGCCAAAACGATCCTCCAAGAACGCCCATCAGGAAGGGGACACCTGAGATGTCACCTACTGCTCCTTGTCTACGAATTTGCATACATATTGGGCTGAAAATTAGGTCATGTAGAGTTTTTTGGACCACGATCATTTATAAGAGGTTTTTATTCGCGTTCAATTTATGTCCAATTTTTTCTAGGTGGCGAAAATTTCTTTTTTGAGTTTACGTATTTTACGGATTAAAAAAAAAAATCAAATCCAGGTCCTAAATAGAAACTTACATTCCACAGAAAAATAAAGCAATTGTGGTGGTGATGGCACTGATGGATAACACTTGCAGTACCACCTCTATCATTTTCAGATTACTGGTGGGAGCTGAAATTTTTTCAACTTTTCAAAGGAGAATAATAGAGTCAAAAAAATGAAGAGTGAACACATGCAACAGAAGGCATATGAGATATAGATATAGGAGACCAATGAACACAAGAAGAATGGCACATTGGAAATAGAAAAAACAGGAAACCCCCTCAAGAGGAAAAAGAGATTATGAGAAAGTTGGAGGGTCCCAGAGAAGCACAGATGGGAGACAGAAGCGGAGCCATGTTCTTCGAAGGTTCTATGCGTGTTTACCACTTTTTCTTAGGCTTTTTCTTCTTCTGTTTTGTTTACCGCCTATGTCTCTCCCTCTCTCACTATTTTGCTTTTTCTTGTGCAACATTTTTATGGTCAATGGTCACTAGGATCTCAAAAAAGGGGAACGCCGTGGTTTTTGATCTCTTCCGCCATGTAAATGATGCACCAAGAATAACAGGTCAACAAGTTTCCTCTGGGTGATGAGAGAGAAAATTATGAAAAAATTAAGAAGAACAAAAGGAGAATCAGATTCCAAAACATAACTTTGAGATCTTGATCCGTTGGGAAAGATTACAGTGGTTCTAGATCCTAGAATTTAAAAATACTAAGCATCTTCCAATTAAGAGTTATTCGAAAACATGGTTTTGCATCTTGATTTTTTTTCTGGGACATCGGAATAGTTGGATTCTGAGGTTCTAAGGTTCTAGATACTATTTCTTGAGGTGTTCGAGTTTTCCTTTCTTAGACACAGAATTGTCTATCGCTGTGAACCTCACTTTCAACTACATCATTTTTATAATCATTAAAACAATCCAAGTCACTGAGGTACAAAACCTTAGACTTTAACTAAAGAGAGCTCCGGTTCTTATATACAAAATTTTCAGAATGACGTGAAGCTATTTTTATGTTTCCTCTGTTCCAAAAAAAGGAGGAAAGAAACCACAGATTGAAACACTTTCCTCTGTTTCCCAGCCATTAAAATTCATCAATACGAATTGTTTATATCAAAAACAATGATAACAGTGGACATTTTTGCTATAAACAAAATTTTGAAATCTCAGTTTTCCTCGAGAAAAATATGGAAAAATAAGAAGGTTTCGAGTTTCAGTCAAAAAACTTATTATTCAACTTTTCTATGTGCTCTTTTATACCCATCCAGCTCGCCCATAACGTCATCACAAAAAGACCCGTAGCCACGCCCACTTTTCTAAACCGACTCAAAAAAATTCACGTGAATCGGAGCAACTAGTGGTGCCAGATGGGACTCTCGACTGTCTCAACATTTCAGCCAATTGAAAAGAAAAAAAGAGTCAGTTGACTTTCAAAAATACGACAAAGGTCTCTAAGGGCTTTTGAATGCAAGCCAATTTTCTTATACTGTAGATTTCATAGATCATCATATTATTGTCAACACTTTCTAAAGATTGTGCCCAATTAGATATGATGGTCTTTGGGCGTCTGAAACAAAATATAAAAGGGGAGGAGCTTGAGGAAAAGAACAAAAGAGCGGGTGAGGGAGAAGCAAACACTATGAATTACACGTGGATCGGAGCGAACGTCTCGCTTGAAATTTCGAAAAAAAAGGGTCAAAGGTAACACTTCGAAGTACTTCGCAGTAAAATTGATTAAAAATGAGTTACCGTTTTTCATTTGAATATTAGGTAAACAGTAAACAAGTAAACAAGTAAACAAAAGTCCACGTGGCAAATCACAAAAGTAAAGCTGGGAAAAACGAGTCCGCGGCTACGCCAAAGGAAGCTCTTTTCAGATCGTCGTTTAAATTTCAGATTTGAAAAAATGTTCCAATAAATCGAATAATTCGAATTAAAAAAAAATAAATGGAGGAACTGGAGATATGTCTGAAAATCCTCAGGGTATCAAAAAAACTTATAAAAGTCTTCAAAAAAGCTGGGGTAGACAGGAAATTAGAGTTAAAGATAATCGAATTATTTTTTAAATTCTTATAATTTCCTTAATTTCAAAATTTCTGATAGCTAACAGAAACATGTGAAAGGAATACATGTACTCTTCTGTTTTTAATAAAAAATGATAAATGATAAACGGATGACCTCTCCTCAAAAAGGAATAGAGAATCAGGCAATGAAACGGAAAATCGACGTCACAAAAAGTAGGCGGAGTCTAAAGGAGGGTGTAGTATCATGATGACAGAATAAAGAAATGAGAAGAACGGGTCTATAATACAAAGTGACACACAAATTAAACAACGAACTTCGCCATTTTTTCTTCTGGTCATTTTAATTAGAAGACGAAGAGTAGGATAACGAGAACACAGAATCATGTCAATCACGAAGATTGGATCGGGATATCCCCCGAATTTTGTTGATTCGATAGCGTCCAAAACAGGTAATAGGTACTTATTGAACTTTTAGAAGGGCAAGATCGTAGGAGTGTAGAGATTTCATATACCGTATTTTCTCTAATAGATGACCATGGGTTTCTATTTTTCGCCCTTCTTCTCGCGGTAGAAGTCTATTAGAAAAAATACTTCAAGTATAGGGTATTCGGTTCTTAACTAAACAGGAATACGGTAACTGGATAACGTGGTTTCGCAAAACTCGCAACTTTCAAAGTTTGAAAAGAAGAAAATACGGATGTAACGAATCAAGCGAGTTTTCGAATGTTCGATATTTGAAGAATAAACCCAGAGTTTCGAAACTTTCAATTTGAAACAGTGAGTGGTTCTCAGATCGTTCTTTGATATTTGATATTTGAATTACCGATTGAAAGGTTTATCACGATTCCTTCATCCCACTATTATCATATCTCCATTCCCCTTTTTGAAAAATGACAAAGATGATTAAAAGTGATAAGAAGAAGGGATTTCCCCGTTTAATTTTTTGTGATCAGGGTAGGGAAATTCAGAAATTTGTAGTCATTTGAGAGACTATGGAGCATTATTTAGTGGATAACAAGGAAAAACAAAACTCAGTTTCATAATTAGTTGTCTCGTGATTTTTCAAAAATTTATTAAAGAAACGGAAGTGATGGGAGTTCTCTGAATCAGTAGAAAAAACCCATAAACGAAAAATTACTGGGAACCAATCGTAGGAACAATAGTGCCAGAAGAATCATTCCAGCGAATATTTTAAAAATGAAAATTCACTCCCTTAGCTATTTAAATACTATCTAGACACGAGTGTGTATCAAAGTACTCTAAAAAACAAAAGTGGGCGGAGCTCATTTTTTGAAACAATGATCGGAATGATACTAGAGAAGGCAGACAAGAATGAGAGAGAGGGTGGATGGTAAGCTGGCTGACGCCTTTTTGAAAACACGCATGGCAAAGTGATAATAGTATTCGAACTTTCTTTTTTATGTATTAGTTATAGTCAAGTACACATTTTTAGTCGTTTGGTTTGAGTTGGTTTTTTTTTGGGATAACTACGGGTAGATAGAAACAATCATGATAAATAGATCTAGTTGCAACCTCTTTCATGTTTACCTATATTTATTTAAATAAAACTTGTACCTTGAGCAAACTGATCAGTAATTTGGATCATTCATATTTAATAAGTTTACACGACAAGTTTTTGGGGGAGAAATGCAGGTTATTTAACAAAGTTTGGTCTTCGAGATACTCTGAGATCTGTAATTTGTTGGTTTTTAAACATTTTTCGATTCAGTATTCAAGATCCGAAATCTTCAATTCAGTGTTACCATTTTTTTTCTATTAATAGCTACACCTCAACCAAAAAAAGCGAAACAGAGAGATCAATTCCTTTGAAACAACAATTTCTATTGAGCTTTTCGTTTCTCAAAGAACGAAAGACAATAATGGGATACATAAGTGGAAGTGAAACAAGACAAGACAAATAGATAAATGGGACAGAAGTGACCTAAAACATCTGTTCATGAGGTGATAGTGGAGTGTGAGGGTCAAAAAAAATTTTTGAAGGTTATGGGACCAAACTTGCAAAGGAAACAAGATTTTCTAGCGACGTCAATCGATACTCCTTTTCTTGCAACAAACTACCGTTAAGACTATAAACGAGGGAAATATTCAGCATTCTGTGAAAAAGTAAAAATTTATCTTTAAAAAAATCACAAAAATTAGAACAGAACAATACATCTTTGTCAAAGGCGTTAAAACATTATAATATCCATGTTCCTTCTTATTGTTATAGTTAAAAAATAAAATGAAAATTTTTTCAAGGTTCGAATTTTCATTTAAATTTAGCTCTTTTTGAATGTATCCAATTGTGAGGAAAATTTTTTCATATTTTTTGAAGTTTTGATTTCCATTACAAAAATTGTCTAAAATGATTAAATTTAATTTTTTGGGTGATTTTCGGATTTTAACCAAGTATGGATTACATCCAAGTTTCCCTTGTTGTTTCAGAAGAATACACGCCGAGGTTTCATTTTTCTTAAATTTTCTTAAGAAAAACTGATTACCAAGTAGATATATTTCAACAACTTTTGTTGCTGATTACTGACAAAATGTCTAGGTCAATATTGTGAAGAATTTCAAGACGCTCAGCTTCTTCACAAATTTGTCACAGCCTTCAGAATCCATGTCTCTTGTGGACGTTCATTCTTGTACGTTTTCCGTTTTCCTTGAATTCTTCCATCTTTCAAAATTCTCTTAATACAGGAATACTGGTTCTCTCTACGTCTGGGCCTCTCAACCCAACACTTTGTTTTAGCCTCTTCCGTCAAAATCAGAAGAATCACAAGTTAAAGTTGACCAGCGTCTCATGCTGATGACACGCAGTTTTTTGTCATTGAAGAAAAACGAAGAGAGTGGATGATTGATTATGGGGGGCAGTACAGATAATAACTAAAACATACAATTTTAATGTTCTTCATCGCCTTTTGTCGGCTGTTGTACAACAAAAAAACAAGTAAAAACGTTGAGTGATCGGTATTTTAACTGCGGTTTGGATGATAAGTGGAAATTTTATTGGCGGAGACACGGGCCGGAAATGGAAGAAAACTGATTTTTCCATAACTCTTTTGAATGAGTATCTGTTGAAAAGTTGTCAGCTACATAAAGTATCTCTAGTTTTGTTTGATGTTTTTCTCTGGAGTTATCAGACTGATCCAGCATGTTTTGACATTTTGGGGATTTCTGCCATTTTCTACATTCCAAATCTCACCAAAGTAATTACTGCAACCTTAAGGTAATATTGTCAACTACAAAACCAAAGTTGTATTCAATGGTCAAATTAATTTAGGAGGAAACTGTTCGAAGTGTCAGAATAAATATTTGAGAATTGTTCGGCGCTCCCAGAAACTTATATACCACATGCTGAAAATATCGATCTTAGGTACGAAAGAGCTTCTGAAGCTTCGTATACTCCGCAGAAACTTCCAGCAGTGCTCAAGAGTAAAATTTCGTGTAATTCCAACCCTAAAAACCTAGATTTTTCTTTTAAACCTTCTGATTCTAGGTAAAATTTAACATTGGATTATTACTGTTTCTACTTGCATCTTCTATACTAGTTCAACTTGAGAAGAGTTCTTGAAGAGTTTGAGTTTCTAGTCTGGAAAATGGGAAACTGCACCGGAAGGTAAATTAATTTTTAATCGAAATTTTCAAAATTGAAATTGGGTCTAAGAGATTCAAAATTCAATTTTAACTTCTTTTTCTTCTGAACTCTAATGATTTTGACTTAGATTTGAAGCGGTTTTCCGGAAGTTTTTTGATTTCATGTTTTCGACTCTCAATAATTTCACTCTCACTGTGCTCCTAATGAGCCAAAACCTTCCTTGAATGTACTACTTCTAATATTCATTCAAAGTGCCTATCATTTTACCCAGAGACAGGTTGAAGTACAAAAACTCAAAAAACCAATCATACACACTTTACGACCGCCCCATAAAACACTACACACCAATTATAATGTCAATTTTGACACTTTTTTTTTTGAAAAAATCATTGAACCGTATTGAGGTGAAGTGTATATCTTTTGATACTTTTCAATGGCGTCCTGTTTTGCTGTCCTTTATAAAATAACTAATTCAACAAGTAGGGAGTAGGTGTACGCGTACTCATTGTCAGTTTACAGTTTTTAGTTTTTTTTTTCAGTTTCCTGGTTAATATCACGTTTATTGTTGATTCCGAACTTCATGAATAATGCAAAACTATTGATTCAATTAGAATGTTCGAAAAATTGTAATTTTTGTTTCTATCCCAATAATTTATCGGCTGATTTCCAAACGATGTAACTTACCATTTTGTAGATCCATTTCTGTGAAAGTTGTTCATATCGTTTGGGAACTTTTCGGTAAAGATTTGGATAATTTCAGTTGATTTCAAATTTTCAATTCGTTATTTTTCTGAAGACGTTCTGTAAACGAATTTCCCAACGAGCATATCGGATTATAATCATCCCAAACGTTAAAAAATGCATTGTTCTTTTAATCTATTTCCTATTTCTGTCTTCTTTCCCAGTTTTTTTTTCAAAACCATGTTTCTCCAGTTACATCAGCATGCTTTAATATTTGATAAGAAGCTGGTACTAGAGGTCGTAATGCGGTAAATTTTGCCTCCAATGGGAAGAGAGTGAGTTGAAAAACCAAAAGCAACACCTCTACGATTTTTTTCTCAATATCATTTTATCAATCAGTAACATCATCATTTTCTCTCCCCCACTCATTTTTCTGACCACGTGACATGTCGTTTTTAGGACATCAGTTGAGAAGAAGATAGTGAGAGTTGTTTGTGTCAATTTTTTCATGTAGAAACGTTTACTCCAATTTAAGACGCTTAGTTTAAGATGTAAATATCAAGATTTTTTCGCTTCAAAATTCTGAAAATCTTGTATTGGCATACTTGTGTCATTTCTGAATTACCAATTTTTTAAATGACTGAATATTGCTAATAGTTAGTTCGCATTTTTCCTGACCGCATTTTTTATGATGGTGTGTTATTTAATCGTTAGTGTGATTCCTGTTCTAATCGAGAACTTAATAAAATGTTTTTCAATTTCGATAATATAATTTTTCCTGTTTCACACCAAATAAACCATTCTATGGAATGGGGTTAGTTTATGAAAGTTATAAGACTATTCCGAATTCTAACTCTATCATCATTCTCATAATCTTTTGAAATCGTGCTCCGTCGAATTAGAAAAAAAACTGGGACCTCAAAATCTTTCGGACGTGTCGAATTGCGAGTCCCCGCCTCATAACCACAACCGGCATTTTTAAGTTGAAATTCTGATCTTCGTTTTCGCCACTCCCCATCGTAGAAAAAATTCAAGTGGCGGCTCTTAGGTTATGTATGTGCCCTGTCCAACCTGTTCTTTGTTCTGACCTACATATATGCACTCCGTACTATTATCTCTTCCCTGTCACGTGATCCCATATTTTGTACTCATCATTATCACTATACAGTATGACGTAAGATCACAAGACGTCGGGTCCAAGAACCCATTCTCCATTTTTTTTTGTTCCGTATGCTAGTTGATATCAAACAGTGCTTGGCGCTGTCACCTGCCCATGTTTCTTATGTGATTCTCTCATCACGCGACTCTCTCAAGGAAAAAAAAAGAGCATTATCAATTTATTATCACCTGCTCAAAACTTTCTTCGAAAACGCATTAAACCGATAAAAGTCATAAAAGGAACCTTTGGAATTGAATAGAGCAAAAAAAAAACATACTATCGATGTGCTTGCTCCATCATCTTGGCTCCGCCTATTTATGCTATCATTAAGTGAACCTTATCAGTTGATGCGTATATGGTGGTGTCAGCGTCAAATATGCACAACTTCGCACACTCCAGGTTCGCAGGTCGCCCCGTTTTAGAGCATTGTCTCCTATTCTTATACATGCACTGCAAATTTCATTAATATGGTCTAGGTTCCATAAAACCACCTTAACTAGTTCTTTAGGCTCAACCATTATCATTTTTCCATATTGTGAAAAGCGTATCAACTATTGAAAACATCTTCCGGGCTATCTATCCCCTTTCCCACGACCACAAGAAGTTTTTCAAGGAAAAAACAGGGGGAATATAAGAAAAAACTATCATCTTTTTCTTACCTGTCTCATCTGCTCTCTCTCTCTCTCTCTCTCTCTCTCTCTCTCTCTCTCTCTCTCTCTCTCTCTCTCTATCAGTTGTTCTTGTACTATATAAGTGATTGGGAATTCTCATATGATTTTTTTCAGACTCATCACACCTTCTACGATGGAGAACAACAACTCACCAACCCAAGCTGCCGAGCACGATCAGAAAATTGAGTGAGTGGTCACACTGGCTCTTAGAATAAAACGTTTGATTTTGAGGCCTTAGCCATTTAAAATATAAGAAGTTGATAAGAATAACGCTAAGAAGCTTATGTACCATCTTTAATTTGAAGTACTGGTGTTCCAGCCCGCGCAACTTTGATGATATGCTGGCCATCGTCGCCTCGATCAAAGAGCAAGTTGGAGAAGAGACAGCCCGTGCTGAACTAGGAATCATTTGCGGTTCTGGTCTCGGTCCTATCGGAGATACAGTTCAAAATGCCACGATTCTTCCGTACTCCAAGATCCCAGGATTCCCAACCACCCACGTAGTTGGTCACAAGGGAAATATGGTTTTCGGTCAGTTGGGAGGAAAGAAGGTCGTGTGCCTTCAAGGAAGATTCCATCCGTACGAGCATAGCATGGATTTGGCTCTATGCACCCTTCCAGTCCGTGTAATGCACCAACTCGGAGTTAAGGTCATGATCGTGTCCAATGCTGCAGGAGGAATCAATACAGTGCTAAGACACGGAGATTTGATGCTCATCAAGGATCACATCTTCCTTCCGGGACTCGCTGGATTCTCACCACTTGTCGGGTGCAACGACCCAAGATTCGGTGCACGTTTTGTGTCTGTTCATGATGCCTATGATAAGCAACTAAGGTATTCGAGTAATTTCAGGGAATCTGAATTCTGATAATGGAAAATTTCAGGCAACTCGCCATTGATGTTGGACGTCGTAACAATATGACCCTTTATGAAGGAGTTTACGTGATGTCTGGAGGACCGCAGTATGAGAGTCCAGCTGAGGTTTCTCTTTTCAAAACAGTTGGAGCTGATGCTCTTGGAATGTCCACCTGCCACGAAGTCACTGTTGCCCGTCAGTGTGGAATCAAAGTTCTTGGATTCTCTCTGATCACAAACATTGCTAACCTGGACGCTGATCAATCCGTTGAAGTTTCCCACGAAGAAGTCCTAGACATTGCCAAGCAAGCTGGAGAGCGAGCATCTCGATTCGTTTCCGATATCATCCAGGAACTCACCATTTGAACGTTTGTTCTTTCGATTTCACACTAAACAATCTGCTTTTCTGGTTCTTCATTTCCTTTTACTCTACGTTTTAAGTTCGAACCTTCTAAAGGCCGCATACACCCATATTTTCCATCTGATCGAAATGTTTTGACGATATGTACAATTATATGTATACTTGCTTTTTGAAAATTGGATTTTATGATAATAAAACGCTGAAATTTATTATGTTACAATATAATTTCTGGAACAACGAAATCCTTGTTTCTTAATGGATTATTTCTCAGACTGACTATTCGAAACGATAGCATTCGACTTTTTTATTCAAATCCTATGTATTTTCTAACTTGTCAAAATTTTATGATACATCATAAGGGTACACCGGCAGGTTCCTGATGATAATAAATATAATAATAATGATAAGAAAACGGACAATGACGTATATTAGGTTACACGAGTTTGGGTATGTTCAAATAAGTCAGTGATAAACTAATTACAAACATACATTTTGAATAGTTAAATTGTGTGCACAATGTGGAGCTTGACTTCTGAAAACGGTTTAGAATTTTTTAGAGTTTACAGAATCTGGGCAATCATCACTGTTCTAGCTGGAATGACAAACGACAAAATTAATCGGACGCGTTCTGTCTTCAAATATCTAATTATTAGGTTGTTCGAAAAGTAATGCGCGTTCAGTGCGAACTTCCAGCTATTTTAGTTCTTTAAGAGAGACATCGAATCTTTGAGAATGCGTTGCTAGAAAGTGGTTGATGATGATGGAGAAAAGCCTAATCATTAATCTTATCTTGTTGCAGTTTTACACAAAGTTAAAGTGAATCAAAAACGCGCATTCTTTTCGNACAACCTATTAATTAAGATGCGATTTGTTCGAGAAGCAAAAACATGTTCCCTTTTCCATGTGGTGGCATTTATACACTCAAACTCTCGAGCTTGATAATTTCAAAACAGTGTTTGACCCATCATTTCTCTTCCGACGGTGGCCAATTGTCAACATACTTTTGACCCTCAAAGGGAGGGGGGGAGGTAAATTGGGTAAATAGACAAAGGGTAGCCGCTTGGTGGATAAGGATAAAAAGCTTTAGTCCCTTTTATTGATTTTTTTCATAAGACAACCTTAAGAATGCTACAAATCCTCGTATACTCAGTGCTGCAACTTTTCCACTTTGTAGGAGGCAATGAATTAGGAGGTAAGCGTCTAGATCTTAATGGCTACCATCTCAAAAATTAAGGATTCATCTGTCGTCTCCCAAAAAACAATGGGTTCGCTTGTGGAGTCACTACACCTCATTCTGCCTACTATTTCGATGTAGAGATTCGAGAATGTATTGAATTCATGTTTGAAGGCTGTGGAGGCAATCAGAATAGATTCTCCAGTCGACAGGAGTGTCTGAATGGATGTAAAAGTTTGAGTAAGATCTTTTTTCTAAGGTTTTCTGAGGAATTTTTTTCCTTTTAGCATCTTGTGGAAAAGGGATGCCATTAATGGATTTTGCTGGAAATATCAAGCGATGTGATGGAGAAAGAGTTCCATGTCCAGGAAGTCATGAGTGTATCGGGAAGGGGATGAGCAGTGTGTGCTGTCAAAAGGCTGATAGAATCTGTCAGGCTTCGGTCCATCCTGGAACACCATGTGGTGTACCTCCAACTACAAGGTACTTGTTTAAAAAAAATTAGACCACATTTTATTTTCCAGATATTACTTCGACTCTTCTTCCAAAACCTGTCGACCATTCGCGTTTACTGGTTGTGGTGGCAATGAAAATAACTTCAAGAGCAAAGGAGAGTGTATGATGTTTTGTAGCACTGAAAGTGAGGATCTGTAGATTTGAACATATATACTTATAAAGTGTACTGCAGTTATTTGTCCACGTGGGGAGCCGCATACTGATCGATACTCAATCAACAATATTGCCACCTGCATGGAAGACAAGCATTGTCCGAGGAATTACACTTGCACTGCTAAAATGGGAAAGAAAGGGGCTTGCTGCCCGAGTAAAGGTGGGTAATTCGTCAAAGGATTTGTTCACTATATAGTCTCTGAACCTTTCGTCTTACGAGATATCCCATTGATATACGGAAAGTGTAGTGTCAGTGGACAAGTGTTCAAAGACCCGTGTATGATAATTACTTTTATAATGAATGATAGCTTTAAGAATTCGTCTGTGGAACACCTTTTGAAATCAAGAACAACTGCCGTAAGCCTGAACCAATTAGCACATTCTCGTTTGATTATCGCAGTGGAGGATGCAAACGGGCAGAACATTCGAATTGTGAAGAACATTTTAACTCATTCGCCAACTTGGAACAATGCGCAGATTATTGCATTGGGTCCTGTCCCAATGGTTTGGACACCCACACGAACCGGCGAACCGGCCAGCCCCACCTTTGTGATTACTCGAAGAATGAAGGATGCCCAATGGGCTTCGAATGTTTGAAGTCCAGTCCATATGCGTCGATTTGTTGTAAAACTCACCCAGTCTGTCCATCACCGGAATCCATTTTATTGGTTGATGAAGATAATGAGGCAGTAAGATGTTCGGCAAGTAGAGACATTTGTCCAGAGCAATATCAATGTCAGCCTGCAAAGAATATGGTGAGTTTCTTCTGGAAATCTTTTTTCAACATTGGCTTTTAGGAAAGCATCTGCTGCACCAAGCCTCTTAGCTGTCCTCCCGGAATGGATGCACTTCGGGAAAACGGAGGCCGCCCGCGAGTCTGTTCCATCGGCGTTGAAGGCAATTGTCCTCAAGATCACATGTGTGTCCAAGGAAATGGCTCTTCTGGAGCGGCACGTCATCTATGCTGTAAGCCACGGAAGAAATGTGTTATCCCTTATGTCGATCCAAATAAGAAGCGGCCGATTCGCTGTTTTCCGGGTGACGAGTCATGTCCATTGTCAACTGATTGCTTACCGGCTGTGGAGAATTCAGAAAACTTTTCTAATTTGACTAATACAATAGATGTGATGTTCTTTTGTTGCCATACAGTTTCTATCTTCAGCTGTCCTGATGGATCCACTCCGTTTCTGGATCCGAATTCTGGCCAACCTGCGGCGTGTTTTCCAGCCAATCCATTCTCCTGTCCAGCAGAGCATAGTTGCACTTCCCTAATGGATGGTTCCAATGCCTGCTGTCCTATCGAAACACCTTTTTGCGCTGAAGCTCTGGTATCTGATGATGGATCACCAATGACCTGCGAGGGATGGGATGACAACACTACGTGTCCACAAGGAAAATGTCAAAAGGCTATGGATGGAATGTACTACTGCTGTAGACCGCCTATGTTGGTCCTACAGAATAATGCACCGATGGTACCTCAAGTCGAAGGAGTATCCGATAGGGTTGGAGAGTATATCGCTAGAAGCTTGGGAATACTGTATACAGACTTTGTACGACCGAAGAAGATACGACAGCCGGAAAATTTGAAGTTGTTAATAAGAGATCCAAAATAGAATGTTTTGACTTTTTAGCCCACCTCCAATCCCCTTGCCATCCTATCTATTTTTGACAATTAATAAAGTGTTCAAAACATTTTATGATATAAACTTTTCGAAAAATTAGAGATCAATTGGAGTGCACGGGAGGTAACAACGGTTCCACTGCCGCTCTTCATCATAATGACAGCTGAAAATCACGAAAGTCCCTATTCTAGAAGTTTTGAGTTCTTTAAACTTACCGAACCTGCAATTTAGTATCGTCTGTATCAGTTGGGCATCTATGATTTGCTGGACACTCACATCTGTGCGATTCCGCGACGACGTTCAAAGACGTGTCTACAGTTATCTGAAATCTTCCACTTTGATTTTTGGACCCTACCAATGCTGTGAAGCTAACCATTTTGCAGAAATGCGCTTCGTCGAAAACATTGCATTCTGAAGACATAGATATCGGATCTTGAAAGTGACGGGTGACAAAGTTAGAGGGGTCTGACTGAATTGTTTCAACTTCTTGATAAAAGTGCGATCCAATAATATTTCTTACCGTTAATAAAGCTGACGAGTAAACAGAACAGAGTATAGTTAACAACGATATTGAACGGATCATGTTTAGGATATTATTCTGCAAATATAAGTATTTTTCTGAAAAGTTCTAAAACCGAAAGAGATGGTCAGAAACGGAATAAATGAAAAGGAGATGAGGAGGGCATTCTCGCCTAATCTCGTAGCCTAACATTCCCTCGATGAAAGAACCCCGTTAAACCGGTCATGACAGGGAGATGCTAGTGTAATGAGAAGAAAAACGATATGATGGTGTAATTGAGAAAAAATAACAAAGAAACCGAAGATGAGGACAATGCGCAATAAAGGAGAAGAAGAATAGAACAATTTGTCATGAGAACTGAAAGGAACAGATTTTGTTGATTGAAGGTTTTAGTCAGTTTGCCAAAGGTAAGTATGAACTTATTACTCGTAGTCATTCAATAACCTCAAATTTTGAAAAAAAATTAGCTGGAAAATTAATATAACTATAGTCTCTAAACCGATCCTCCGAATGTCCGAGTATATATCAAGGCACTTTAGATGTTCAATCTCTGATAGATGTTAGGGTCCAGCAAAAAAATAAATCAGAGTTGGACGAACAGTCCGTTGTCCGTAGTTCGATGTCCTTGAAAGAAATTTCTAGCCCCTGTATCTCTGGTGTAGATGGCCAGCTGACACTGTTCATTATAATTTCAAAAAATTCCCAAGTTTCTTATGAAAGTCTCTCAGGTACATGGATTTGTGATACGGATGCCAGCCAGTTTTCAGGCATTCCCTTACTTTTTCCTTGTGTAATGGAAAATCCATGATCTAACAAAAGCACTTTATTCAACCTCCCATTATTTACGAATTTACAGTTTTTGAGATAGTCAACAGAGGTAAGTATAATAAAAAGTAATAACAATATATTATCTGGTTCCCTCCTATTATTCCAATTCTGATTATCGACGAACATTCAGATAGCCACATTTGAGAACAACGACGATGAAGAGCAGATATAAAGTACAAACGCAGCCGTATTCTTGGAAACAACTATCGCTTCTTGGGACCATCTGAAATCGAAAATATCAGAAGATACAGAACAACCGAAAGACTTACTGTTTCGTTGGGTGGGTTAGATGGTTGCACAACTGATGGGTTAGATAGTTGCACAACTGATGGGTTAGATGGTTGCACAACGAGATGCGGTCGAGTGATGGTAAAGATTCGGCTGGGCTCTGGTGGGTGCAGACACATAACTTTTCTGAAGGTTCTGTTCTGGGAAAAAAATAAACTGAATCCATTCAAAAGAATCTGATCAGACTCCGCCCATTTCTTCTTTCTGATTTTGTTGCGTCAGAGCATCAGATTAAAGTCACGAGAAGATGGAATACAAGTTTAGGAGCCAACTCTCACGCGTAGAGTACAAATCGTCAAATGTGTTGATTCTTTTGGTTCGGATGGTTGAAGAATTCCGAAAGAGGGAAAAGGGTAAACGGTTTATGCAAATAATGAGATTAATTATTAATTTCAAAAGTTTGGGAAAATGAAAAGATCATTGGTACACAAAACAAAGGGAACACAAGAACGATCAACAAGAATAAAAGCTCAATATGAGGTAGAAAAAACACAGTTTTAAGCAATCACCGGTGAATAAAACATTAGAAAAAGACCTAGAAAAAAATAGAGGCAGAGAAAGAAAGTTAAACCTTAACACAAAAGAAAGTATATGGATACAGTTTTAAGTAAAAGCATTTGTAGAATATTAGATTAAAGATTTTAACAGTTGAAAACTTTTGATATCTTTTCTACATAATGATATATTTGAGATCTACGTAGAAGTAGATTACTTATTTTCTTCCTTATCATCCACTACTTCTTCCTCCTTCTCTTCCTCTTTCCTCGACAGCTTCCTCTTCTTTTCATCTTCTTCCTCTTTCCGTTTCTTCTCATTATCAACCATCTCCTTCCATTTTCTCAAGTCTACCGACGTTCGGGTCTTCTGGGCCTCTTCATCTTCTTCTGGCACCGACGTCAACACATCGATCGGAGTTCGACGTGGCGATCCGGTGAACTCTTCTGGCGTCAGAAGTCCTTGTGATGCTTTGTTGGCGTCGTCGGCTAGCTCACCTAGGATACTTGCGCAGCTTCCGATGTCGTTCTGGAATAAAGTTACGTTCAGTCTGTTTATCTGTGAAACCAGATGTCCCAACTCACATCTCCTATCGCAGTGTTGATCGAAAACTGCGAACTTCCGAAGAGCTTTCCAGGTCTATTAACTTTAGATCCTCCAAATTGACTTCTCAATCGTTCCATTATCGTTGGTCCTGGATTTCGACGACTAACTAAACTCGTCCTACTCTCACAATTTCGATTCACAGACACCACGGAGATGCCCCGTGGCAGCCGGCGGGGATTACATTCTTCTACGTCGTCGCATCCATCTTCAAAATCGTCATTGGTATCTATGTGAGGACGCATGATAATTTCGTTTTCTTGGGGTCTGGAAAATATTAATTTTTACTATCACGCCTAGATAGATAAGTTCAAAATATAACTTACTCATAAGCAGCTGCCGATCCTATCTGTGGATTCATATGCAGGTTGGCAGTGTCTGCTGAATACAGGGGTTCCACAGTTTCAGCACTCCAGAAAATGTCTTTCTGAATAGGTGGAGAGTCATTGTAGCAGTCATCCACTATGGCGAGTCCTGTCTGGAATCTTCTAAAATTGTTTCATTTTTTACAGACTTTCCTACAGCCAAATTTCTGTCTAACAAGAAATTACACTCAAAATCGTCGTCATCCTCTCCGAGTGGATTCATCAAACTTTCTGCGACTTTCATCCACCCAACATAGAAAATAAACTGAAGAGATGTCATAAGAAACGGAACGAAGGGGTAAACAGGCGATGCATCTTTCGGTGGTTCACCATCGATTAAAACGGATTGACGGGCAATAAGACAGAGGAAGAAGTAGATGCGAACGGCGAGGAACACTACCTGAAAACTAGAAGCTTGTTAAAAATAAAATGGAAATAACAAAAACAGCTAAAAAAAACTTACCTGGGGATACACCAAAGGAATAGGAACCCAATCAAAATTACACAACTGTCCTAATCCTCTTCTGAAGTCTCCAACACTTTTGATCAACTCATTCAACATCACATCTGCTCCGATTTTTCCCTGAGCCCGTGCCTCGTAGAGCAACGAGTAACACCATTGGATCGGGAGGAAATATTTATTGTACTTCAGATTCAATTCCACATATTTCTCTCGTTCACTTTCTAACATAAATCCTGCAGCCACTACTGTCTCCAATGTTGGGAACCTCCTTCGAACTCTCATACTGATATCTCGAAAAATTATCACTTGTGTCAGCACCATGTATCGGAGAGTTGTTCGTCTCAAGATACGACTCTTCTCGTCGTTTCCTCGGATATAGGTGGCGATTAGAAGAGCAGTGCTGAAAATTGAGATATTAAAATTTTAGAACCTAGCTGAATTCGTACTTATCAACCCAACCAATGTTCAAAAAGATATCATTCCATCGTCCAACTATAATCGTAACAAAGAATCCGAGCATGAAAGTGAGTGGGATGTAGTCGAGTTTTTGATCAAATAATGCAGAGAAGTTGTCCCAAAATCTTTAAAAAAGATTATTTATGGTTATCCAAATGTTTAAAACTCACAATCTTTGCTCCTCTGATAAAAAGTAATTAGTCCTATAGATAGATGTGACAATGGCAAATAGAAGGGAAAATATGAGTAGCTCCCGCATTACAGACTTCCATACAGATCCACGCCATCTGAGTTGCAGTTTTAGAAAGGCTATCAGTGACGTGGAAGAAACATCCAAGTTGTATGATACTGTCATCTGAAAACAAGACAATTTTCAAAGGGTTCAGATGTAAGAAATCAGTGAGAAAAAGAAAGGATTTTGAAACGGAAAATGAGGATCTTCTACTGTCGATCATGAAGAAGAGTCCTGTAGATGCTGGCTCAATGCTTCGTCTATCTTCGCAATAAAATCAATTTTTTGTATAAACAATCTTCAGAAAATTCTTTCAATGATAGAAGAGAAGAACTAAATGAAAAAAAGAGAAGATATGGAAAATGAAGTTTCTGTGCCGAGAAGAAATTGAATTCTCGGACGCACAAACATAGAAAAACACATCGGAAGTAAAAGAAAAACAGAATTTTTCCTAGTTGCACAGATCACATGCAAAAATTAGGGGCACAGAATTTTCCACCTGTTTGAGCTTGAAATACTCAGAAAACAAAGAGGGTCATAGAATAAAGGAAACCGAAAAAAAAGAAAGCAAGAGAAACTAAGCGGAGGGTCGGTTTGAGCAATTTGAGATGAAAAAGAAAAAGATGGTGATGATAAAGGGATAGAAATAAAAAGAAGAAGATATTCTTGCATCTTTAATCTTAGAGTTTAAAATCTCTCTGGAATTTTTAATGAATGGGAAAAAATTAGGAGATACTTGAGACAATGAAACTCCCAAATTGAAGATTCGTAAAACAAAAATATCCTCAGATTCCCCACTGTACTTCTGAATATACTTTTTCTTCCGTTTTCTTGTCCTCGTCTGGCTCTCTCCTAGTAAATTTCCAAAGCTACGGAGCCTCCCCACACAGGAAAAGCTTTCACACTCGTTGTGTATGCCCTCCGCTTCTATGCGTTCGCACATTGGGTAGAAATAGTATGCCTATGAGGAAGACGCAGAAAAGGAAGATAGAATAGGAAAATACAGATGGGAAAAAAAGTTAGAGGAAACATGAGATGAAGAAGAATAGAGAAAGAGAGGGAAGAGAAAATGAATGAAACAATTTGGTTTTATGTTTTTAAAAATAAATTATGAGAATTCATAAAAAAATTTAAACATATTTCGGATGAAAAAGACCGTAAAACCAAATTTGAAAAGTTTCGAAATTCAAAAAAGAAGGAGAAAAAATTGTTATATTTTTGACTACTCATATGTCAGGGTAAATGTGAACATTTTTGACCTACTTCAAAAAATATATGAGGTCTAGAAAAAAAGAAAAAAAAGGAAGGATATTGAACCTTACAATGTTTTGCACATGAATGGAAGCTACTGAAAAACAAAAGAGATGTCAAAAAGAAGGAAAGCTGATCTCTGAAGCATTACTTCCCCTTTGTGTCTAGAGAATGTAAACACTATAGAAATATTTTGTTTTTTTTTTTCGATTTTCGGCTTTGAAATTTGGAAAGGATAATTAAAGACCACCTGAAGCTTTTCAAACAATACATATTGTTAAAAAGGCTTTTGATTTCTAATGGTTTCCCAGAGATTCAAGAGACGCCAAAAAGAAATTTCGAAAATCTGATGACGCATTGCCATTCCCAGACAACAGCTAACCAGGAAACAAATACTGAGAGGAGAAAGGTCATGAATGTATACATTAAGTAATCCAGTGTAGGATTTAAGTGGACAGATGTCGATTTTGGTTTGCATAAGGCGCATAATTTGAGCGGCTAATATCAAAAGAGCACGGTATATATCTGCTAAATTCGATAACAAATTTGGTTTATACATTTCAAATTTTTCAACAATTCCGAACGTTTGAACCATTTTTCATGTTTGAATTGAACTTTTTGTTACATATAGGAAACAAACGAATCTTTCTCAAAAAAGTGACAACTCTCAAAAAAAACCTTGGATGGTTAAAAAGCAAACAGAGGAAAGAAAAGCTTTCCCTACCGGCCAAAATGGGACAATATGAAGACTACACCTCAGAAATCAAAGAGGCAAAAATAAACACAATCCCCTTTTCTTCCTTTTGTTAAATTAAAATCAACACAAAGGACACATTTTTCACAGGGATAGAAATGGTGTGAAATTCGACTGCGCTCTAATGAGAAAAGACGTATCAAAGTTTTTCTCAAAAAAGAGTGCAACCTCATACGGCATACATACCACATTATAATAACCTTTCTAATCTTTGAAATTCCCATTTTTGCTACATTGAAAAATTAGTGGTGGTCTTCTGAGGAATTATATCTGAGAAAACATATAGCGCTAAATTGTATTCATAGAAAAAAAAATAGATAACAATCATCTTATTCTATTTTTGTCCATGTTATCAGTTTGGAGAAAAACTATACGGAAAAAGATACTAATTGTGCGAGAAATATGTAATAAACTCTATATAAATAGTAAGTGAAAAGTGTCCTTAAGAATGCAACGAAAATGAAATGTTCACCGAATAGGATTTTAACAAAGTATGTCTACTTCGAAAGCCTAGATTATGCTAGAACTTTTCATGTTAATTTGAACATTTTTGCATACTAATTATTAAGGTTTTTCGGTGATTGAAAAAATAATCGTAATCATTTCTAAATTTTCTGCTGACCTCAAAAATTCGGAAGACGGAAACAGAAAAAAAAACAAAAAAAGATTAGAGTAATCACCGTAATGATTACAAGACGCGTAGAGAGGTACAGGTGTAAACAAACAGAAACGCTCCTGTTTTCAGCTATACGTGTGGTACTTTCAGATCTAAAAATGCTATTTTTCATTTTCTCTGAGACTATCCTTCTCCTCTTCCCTCGATTCTCGTCATCCTTAGAACAGTTCACAGTACAGCCAAACTCTATGGGCCCATTTTATATTTTTACGAAAAACGTATCGGGAGAAATGAAAACGAGACGGTGTCCCATTTAATGAACACATGGAGGTTTAGTAAAAACTATTCATCCCCATTCATTAGCACCATTAAGTTCCATTTGCCCGTTCTTGGATCATCTAGCAAAAGTCAAACTGTCATAAATCCGAAAAGTTGTAGTAATGGATTTCTTTATTGGACATCCGGGTTTTCTTCAAAAGTTGTAGCCATAACTTTTCATTCTTCACATATTCCAAGTTTTGATAATTTATTTATGAATGTACGAAACAGTTGGTGAAAAATAATGAATGCAAAAGATCATAAAGAACTTCTTATTAGTTAGCTACAATTTGATATTTTCATCAGGTGTAAAGGCTTCATGTTCTTTTAGAGTATGTAACTTTTTGGATTCCATATAATTAAGTAAAACCAATTTACTGACAATGTATTATATATCGACCTACTTTTATATCGGTCTATTTTTGTAATTTTGCTCTTGCATACACGAAGATGATATTTCATCTGTAGTTTTTTTTTGCGCTGCTGTTTTTTGTGTCTCGCAGAATATGAGTTTCCCCTTCCGAAGATCGGAGAAAAACTCCGCCCACTTTGACCTGATTGATGTTAGCGGTTGATTCAGTTCTAGGAAGAGTTCTTGTTCGGGATCCAGATTAATGCAGATCCAGTAGAAAATGCGTTTGGACATTCAATGCTTACGCGGATTGGCAATATCTTTCGTCTTATGTTATCACTTATTTCCACTGGTTTTTGTAAACGGATACCTGGGAGTTGATATGTAAGTTTGGCGGAATCTCCCTGAATCCACAAAGTCTCATTTTCGGATTTTTTGTTATTAGATACCTAATGGCTCGAATATTAAATCACTCAAAAATTATATTTCTGATATTTTGAATTTTTCTGATATTTTTAATATTTCTGATATTTTGAATTTTTATTACTGAAGATTAAAAAGAATTCGTCCGTTGTATTATTTATTTTGTGCGGTTGCTTTGATTTTTGTGCATCTGTATTTGGGAGAATTTTGGTGGCAGAATAATAGAAGATACTCGCTGGCAGCACTGTTTTTAGTATCCAATCAAGTTTTTTATACACGATGCGATGGACTATTTTCTCCAGGTAATTAACTTTCTCCAAATAGAGTTTTCGAAAATCTAATATACCGTAAACCTAGACTTTCACTTTGAGCTCATATATCTCGGTTCATGTAACATAGGTTCATGTAACATGTATATCAAAAAATGGTCAACTGACAAAATATTCATTTAAACATAAAAAATATTTTGTCAATTGATTAATTTTTGATATCTTTTTCAAAAGCCGAGATAAATTGGCTCAAAGTGCAAGTTTAGGATGACCTTCTATTAGAGTGTTTACGGTATGTTTATTTTAACCAAAATTGATCAATTTTGGTATCAGAATGTCCCGATTTCAATAAGAAACATGAATTTCAGTATCAAGCAGATGTAACTTCTGTTAATGCCTTCATGCATACCTGGTCTCTTGGAGTTGAACTTCAATTTTACCTTCTCTCCCCATTTATTTTCTTCGGCCTCCAGTTTCTTCCAAAACCATCGCTGAAACTGGGCGCCGTCTCTACAATTACTTTCTTTGGAATTTGTGCATTTTTAACAACTAATACTCAATTTGCATTTAATTTTATGCTCCTGAGACTATGGCAATTTTCTACTGGGTTCACCGCACTGTTCTGTCGGGAGTTTGAGATTTCGAGAAATTCAAAAAGATCTGAAAAGTCTTCTATGGAAAAGACTAGAGTATTCTGCGGGATTAATTTAGATGATATGGTTACTTGTGTGACATCTGCACTATTCTTATGTTTGGTTCCATCAAAAATCGATCCGATGTGGCTCCGCCCTCTTATCACTTTTGCAACAGCTTTTTTGATTTATATGGAGACAGAAAACTGTCAGATACTGAAATCCAAGTCATTGGGATATCTTGGAAATATGTCTTATTCCGTATACCTAATTCACTGGCCTGTTATAACCATTTGTATGGGTACTACTGCAGCAAGCCAACTACCGTAAAACCTCTAATAGAACGACACCCGGATCGTCCACTTTGAGCCTATATATCCCATTTTCTGTGAAAGATATCAAAAAGTGGCTAACTAGTAAAATGTTGCTGATATCCTGATAAACATTTTACTAGTTAACCACTTTTTGATATCTTTCAAAAGAAGTGAGATATATAGGCTCAAAGTGGACGATCCGGGTGTCGTTCTATTAGAGGTTTTACGGTATATTGCTTAAGTGAGTTTCTTCTGTTCTCCAAACTTGCTTAATAATTATTTCCAGTTCTCACAATGATTATCTCTATAGTTACCCATCTTTTCTATGAGAAGCAGTACCTGAAATTTGACAAAAAGGCAGTTGGATTGCTCATTCTTCTTCTTCTGCTGGTGTTCAATGCTTCTGTCCAGTATAGCACTCGAAATCATCAGTTTTGGAAACCAAATTATCTCCCGAAGATCCAAAAAATTGTTAGTGAAAATGAAGCTTTGCTTCCTTTCATCACTTCATATGAGAAAAATTATGATGAATGTGTGGAGACAGCATTCCAGGAGTTGTATGATAGTGGATTTCACTTTACATACTGCAAGTATCCGGTAAGATTTTCGAGCGATTCAAGGAACTAGAAAGTTGTATAACTTATTGTTTATTATGTTCTATGAAAACAAGATCATTTAGATTTTGTTTCATATTTCAGCGAGGCAATGGAAAGTTGTCAGTAACGATAATTGGTAATAGCTACTGTACAAATCTCAACGAACACATCCGTACTCAATTTCATCATAACTATTCCGAATGGAGATCTCTTTGTATTGGGGGTACGTCTCATCTTTTATAAATACCTAAACTCTGAATTCCAGGCAGCTTCGGCTTCTTCCACGACAACGGTTATCATGGAGCTGCGTCTCTTATAACAATGAAGAATCAAGTGGCCACTCATAAACCGGATGTTTTGTTTATAGCTGCAAGGTTCCTCATTGAAGAAATATTGTTTTTATGATAAATTTTTAGATACTCTGACTTCTTAAAAAGTCCAATTTTTTACGAGGAAGATGACGAAATTGTGAAGCAGATGAACAGCAACATTGCATTTTATGAGCAGTATGTCGACTAGAAACTTTCACAGCATATCCTTTCATTTTTTAGATATGTTAAGAAAATCTACATCTTGGCCCCACACCCCTTATACCCTCTAAACTTCTTGAATGTATTCTTGGATTATGTAACCCGTAGACCAACTGAGCTAGAGACATTACACCTGAACAGAGACGCAGTTGACAGGGATTTGCTGTATGCGAGGGAAAGATTCAAGTTGATCAATTGCAAAAAGTGCAAGGTGAGGTAAAAGAAAAAGTATAAAATTTTCTGGATTCGTTTAAATTTTTTAGCTAATTATGGTTGTCTGAAACCATAATCGCGAACCATAGGAACTACAGGGTGGCTTTTAATTATTGCAACGCATTCAAAATGAGCGTATCTCAAGAAGTATAAAACAAAATCCGATCTAACTCAAGCGAATATTTATTCGTATGTATGAAAATAGAAAACAGAGAAATTATTCGATTCTGCCACCTTTCGCGGCGATGACAGCTCGAAGACGTCTTGGGTACGCGTCGACTGTGGCACGGAGGTATTCCACCGACAATTTGTCCCATTCCTCCACCAATTTCTTCTTCAATGCCTCAACACTCGAATGGGGTCTTGCACAGACCTTATTTTGAAGAACTCCCCAGATGGAGAGTCGAGAGGATTCAAATCCGGAGAGGAAGCAGGCCATCCATCCTTCTTGATGAACTGCGGCAAGTGACGCTCGCACCAGTCTTGAGTGAACTTTGCAGTATGGGCAGGTGCCCCATCTTGTTGGAAGATCCAATGTTGTCCGGCAAAGTGATTTTCGGCCCATGGAAGCAAATGCTTCTTCAAATTTCTTCTACGTAATACTCTTTGTTGATGAGCGTCACTTGCCGCAGTTCATCAAGAAGGATGGATGGCCTGCTTCCTCTCCGGATTTGAATCCTCTCGACTTCTCCATCTGGGGAGTTCTTCAAAATAAGGTCTGTGCAAGACCCCATTCGAGTGTTGAGGCATTGAAGAAGAAATTGGTGGAGGAATGGGACAAATTGTCGGTGGAATACCTCCGTGCCACAGTCGACGCGTACCCAAGACGTCTTCGAGCTGTCATCGCCGCGAAAGGTGGCAGAATCGAATAATTTCTTCTGTTTTCTATTTTCATACATACGAATAAATATTCGCTTGAGTTAGATCGAATTTTGTTTTATACTTCTTGAGATACGCTCATTTTGAATGCGTTGCAATAATTAAAAGCCACCCTGTAGTAGTAAGCTAGCAGTTTTTATATTCAGTTTACAAGTTTTACAACTTTTTGAGAAGACATGTTTCTATCAAAAAAAAGAAAGCTTTATTTTCACCACCAGTCCAAAAGAAAAATTAAATCTACTTGTGAAATTCTGAACATAAATGTTCCTTGTTTTTAAAATCAGTTTTCAGGTTTTCGACTTGGGCAAGGTGTTTCGCGATAACGACAAATATTTATCTTTTGACCGAAAAACGATGTTGTCTTACATGGATACTGGCATCCATTTCACTGGACCAGGAATGACAAAGTGTGACCCAGTTTCGACCATATAGCAAAAGATGTCATGGAGAACTAACTTATCTCATTCTTACATCATTTTTTAGAGACCTGTTTATGTATAATTTGGAATTAATTTTATAATTTATAATTTATGAAAAAGGCTTTAAATATTTGTAACCGTGTTCATTCAAATGAATTAAATTATGATACATGTATATCAACAGGAAGAAATCGGTTTTGAATTCCCACCAACAATAACAGACAACACATCTCGCGGTGTACTACACATCTTGCATTATATTCTACGAGCAAAGCTATTGTTGACTTTTTTCTCTTTTCTTCGCTTGGTTTTCCTACTAAATAATATTTTTAATAAGAATTTTCTAGTATTTTTTACACTTTCCAGAATGATTCGTCGAGAAAATCGTCTCCGACGGGAGTACATCTTCAGAAAATCGCTCGAGGAGAAGCAAAAAAGTTTGGAAGAGAAACGTGAGAAGATTCGTGATGCTTTGGAGAATAATACGTACGATTTTCCATCTGATTATCTAGAAATAACAAAAAAAACTAAAATTTCAGAAAAATTGATTACAATCTGCGCAAAGATGCGATTGAGTTGGCGAAAGGTTCCGATTGGGGAGGCCAACAATACGAGGTGGACAGCGAATATCGATGGGCAGGCGCTCAGGATCCCAAAATTGTGATAACTACGAGTCGTGATCCATCATCCCGTCTGAAAATGTTCTCAAAAGAGATGAAGCTTATTTTTCCGAACGCTCAGCGCATCAATCGTGGTCATTACGATGTAAAGCAAGTTGTGCAAGCCTGTAAGGCACAAGATGTGAGTTTCCGTGCCGTTCGTTTTCGATATAAAGTGCTCAAATTTTCAGTCAACTGACCTAATTATTCTCACTGAGACACGTGGGAATCCAGACGGCATGATTGTTTGCCACTTGCCATTCGGTCCAACAGCTTTCTTCACGATGGCTAACGTAGTGATGCGGCACGATATTCCAAACTGTGGAACTATGAGTGAACAGTATCCACATCTAATTTTCGATAATTTGAATAGCAAATTGGGACAACGCTTTACAACGATTCTCAAACATTTGTTCCCCGTTCCGAAACCAGACTCCAAGCGAATCATGACTTTCTCCAACGTGGACGATTATGTCAGTTTCCGTCATCACACCTATAAAACCGAAACCGACGGGGAGATTGAATTGAACGAAGTTGGACCGCGATTTGAACTGAAGCGTAAGTCACTCCACTAAAATGTTCCCACATCATAATTTTCAGCCTATCAAATCAAATTGGGAACCCTTGAAAATCTAGCAGCCGCCGAAGATGAATGGGTGCTCCGAACCTACACCAACACCGCTCGTAAACGCACATTCCTCAGTATCGCGAGAAACGACGATGACGAGGAATAGATACGGATTGGAATGTTTTGTTGATTTTTTCTTGTTACTGTTTCTTCTTTTTTTTTTAATCTGTTACAAATAAAATACTACAAATAAGTTTACTAGCTGATTAGTAGATAGGAAATAGTATGCCAGATAGTATAAGAATGGTTATTATGTGAAAAATATGAGGGATCATTGAGAAGTGAAACATGGAATGTAGTAATCGAATTTTAATCGAGGAGTGGAGCTGGATCACGATATGCCTCAGAATGCATTGATTTCCCTGCCATTTCGAGCACAGCGCGTGCCTCTGGATCCTTGTCGATGATGGATTTCTCTGGAGATCTTTCCGCTTCCAGAAGCTGCTCTTCGAAAGATTTCGCTGGCTTATCTCCAGGTCTCCACACTTCTAAGTGTTTGATCTTGAAGTGTTCTTCCTCAGCCAGCCAGCACTGATCGAAAGCGCTAGAGTTTTTCTGGCATAGTCCTCCTTCGAAACTTTCGTGAATGAAGAATGGCCAGACATCTTCGGCGCCACCTATGCCGAGTCCGTTTGGAAGAGATTGTTGCTGGTAGTTGAGATAGGCGTAATTGTCGGTTCTTCCAGTGGCGTTGTAGACAGCAAGTACGGGTGCCAGTTGGAACAGGAAGCACTCAGCGGTACCACGGTATTGAGGACCAGCGAGCAAACCTGAAAATAACTCATATGGAAGATGTCGCTCTTGCCACGTGGATCGTGTCACTTTCTGAAGGACCTCTTACCATGAGAAGCGAAAAATCCGAATCTGCGTCCTCTCATTGTTCGAACCACAATGAAGCACGGTCCCTCTCCATTGACCTTCCTAAGTAATTGCGAAAAGCTGTTCCCATCACGCTGATTCGAAAACAACATCGTCCAATTTTTTCGTCGGTCGAATGGCAAGTGCGAGTTCAAAATTAGCTGGTCTACATTTCCCAGCAAGATTGATTTATCCGAGAGAACTGGCATTTTCGAGTCTCCTTGGCGTTCGATGAGCTTCTGGTATATGAAAGCAGCACAGTATGGGAAGAGGGGACACGAGGAGAAGAAGTGCTCTAGTTCCTCCACTGGTCGATTGTTCTCTCCTTCGAAGTAGTCATACAGGCGAACCTGGTCTTCCCGAGTGAATTTATTGGAATCGCAGAAGATTTTGACGACATTTCTCATTATCTGAAACCGTGAGAGATATAATTTTAATGCTTCTAGGCTCACTCACCGGTTCTTTTTGATCACCAAAAGTTATTTTCAGTGCTTTGGCGAGAGAGTCAAAATGACCCAGTCCATCATCAATGATTTTGAGGAATGTTTTCGCTTGGAGCAGCCCAGATGGCTCGAGTTTTACCAAGCGGTAGTAGCACTGGACGTTGAACTCGCCGATGATAGTGTAGGTTGGCTGTAGTTGGGAGTCATAGGAATGTTTTCGAGCGACTGACGCTTACCGTAAACTCTTCTCGTGTCATCTTACTTCTTCCGCTAGTGGCTTTTTTGTAGGTGTCCATGAATCTTTTGTACTCTTCATCACTAATATTTTTGAAGTCCTTTCTCTTCTTGGACTGTTCAGCACCCATCTGAAAGCTAGCACAGAAATGAGCACCTTAGCTCCGGAATGAACGATTCAAGAAAAACAATCAAAAGTATTTCGAACTGTGTTCCTTCATCACAGTACTATTGGTAAGAAAAAGAAACCAATGAGTAATAAAAAATAGCTCATGTTTATAAAGAAATCATTTCATTCATATTACAGAGGGAAATATTTAGGACAACACGTGAAAGCCAAAGCAGAAACGAGAGTGAAATAGAGATTAGGCAATGAGCCGCGTTTAGTGGCATATATAGCAATACATTGGCACGTGCAGAATAATCAGAAGACGTGACGTTATACAGAGACGCAGAGAATTAGAATTGTATTATGGTGATGATGCCGGCTGGAGAGTCGAGAGTGGAAATCTGAAAGTATCACAAGTGTATTTAAATTTCCGCTTCGAAGCGCTTTCTATGATTCTGTTTCGAATCGTGCGGGCGGTGCAGAAGCTTACTTATCAGTTGGTGGTGGATGATGGATGCTCCACCTGGTTGGATTGCAACAAATCCGAGATGTTCTTCTCGAGATCGTCGATTCTTGTGGTCATGTCGTCAATGCGGCGAATGATTTGATCCGACATGTGCTGGAAGCGATCTTGTGTTTGTTGCAGGACTCCTTGTATCTTAAAGTATCGATTTTGAATGAAAAGCGTTTTCGGAAGCCCTTACCAGTGATCCCAGCTCGTTCATGTTCGAGTCGTTGGTAGAATCCGCCGGCACGGTGATTGGAGATACAGTAGGGAGTGGATTCTTCTCGTCGGCCATGTTAAGCTGAAACTTTTTTCTAGAAAATTAAATCCTAAAATACAGCTAAAAGTTCGATTTAGAGAACAAAAACCGAAATCAAACGAAAAAATTTAACCAAACAACACGAGAGAACACATTTCAAAAGAACAACAGAGAAAGAGTGGATGGAACGCGGAGAGTACGCAGAGAAAGAGGGACTCTGCGGAGAAAAGAGATAGAAGAAGCGAAAGAAAATATGGGGTTTAGAAGAAGGGGAAGGACAGAGAAAAGAGAGTGACGGATGGATGGTGTTGACTGACCAGTTAGTTAGCAGAGCAGAATTGAATTTGAGAAAGAAGTATTACAATTTCGAAACACATAAAATTGGTATGGGTGGAGCACTTATAAATGTTTAACTATTTGAGGAACTGTATTTTTAAACAAGAAAGGTTTTTAGGAATAAAACCTTTTGATAGTGTAAAATTGACTGACAACGCAAGGAAAGCGAGAATTTCGCCTTCTGTTCCACAGCTCCGATTGTTTGTAGGACCATAACATGTCTATTGATATTCATGTTCATATTGATTTGAGTGAATTCGTCTTCAGAAAATAAATTCGGATTGTTCAGAATGTTTCAGATAACGATTTCTACTTAGGTTGCATGGTTTTCAGCAGAGATGAGCGGAAGAGATTTACGGAAATTTACGGAAGACGGTTTATTTTCAAAATGAAAAATGCTACCAAAAAGTTGTGAACGGACAAAATGTAGATCTCAATGAAAGTTATTTATTGGTATAAAAGTTATCTCATAATAGTGATGGAGAGTTGATATATGGCGTTTCTTCCGTGTTCCGTCTTCCGTCTGGCACACGGAAGACGGAAGACGGAAGAAAGACTCTATTTGTAAAATCCAACAAAATTTCGAAACAATTTTTATACCAATCGATAGCTCTCATTGAGATCTACATTTTGTCTGTTGACAGCTTTTTGGTAGCATTTTTCATTTCGAAGATAAACCGTCTTCCGTAAATTTCCGTAAATCTCTTCCGCTCATCTCTGGTTTTCAGCTCGAATTTTGTCAATGTTCATCTTTTATTTTGTATTCAAGGTTGCGACACAGTGATCGTCGTCTTCTTTGTCTGAAACAAAACATTCATGACAATTGGATTGATATGTTTTCTGAATAAAATGCTGGAAGAATCTGTATTTTCATGTTCTTCAGAAAAAAGTTCATTGTGTATCCCTTTCTTTTTATTCTTCTTCTTCTTCTTCATGTTTCTCCATGAGACGATATGAAACAGCCAGGAAAGAAATTTGAAACCCCTAAAAAATCTGGGTGACAAAAATAATAATATGCGCGGTCTCTAAGAAAAAGAATTGAAAAAAAAAACTTGATTTTTAACAGATTCAGGGAAGAGAGATCAAGCACGACGATTACGTTATTTTCATCATTTTCCTTCTTGCGCAATGGAGGTGGCTAGTAAATCAGATGGGCGGTTTTTTTTTTGTTTCAAGATTTCTCTCCTATTTTGTATTTATGACAACGCAATAATTGTATAGTATTGGATTCATATCTTCATGGCAACTTTCGTCTCCTCGACTATTGTAAAAAAATTTTTAGATTTCCAGGACGTTCCAGATGTTTGTTCCAAAAATTATAACATTCCAAAAATCGTTTCTGATCTTTTATAAAAGATCATCACCATACCCATCATCCTCTCCGCTTAATTAACAAGCTTGGGCTTACACGGTGAAAAAGGGTGAATGACCGTCCAATTGATAATGTATTTTTTCGCTTCTTAGCGTAGATTCTCGGCGGCTTTTGAGGCTTTCCGATCCAGTGAAATTAGGAGAAAAACTTGTAGATTAGCAAGTTCATAGATATGGAAAAAGGGAAGGTATAGGATGAGAGGGCATTCCTTTCTTTTGGGATTTATCTTGACCCATCATGTGTTTGTTATTGTTGTTTGACCCCCTGAATAGTCTTATTCCTTGTTTTCTGTCACTTTTTACTTGTACAAGTTTATGATATTAGGTACAGTAACTTATAGTTTTCTGAAAATAGAAAATTAAAACTTGACTTTTAATTAGTTCGTTTCCAAACAAAATACCAAAAAGTAATAAGATTATAAAACGTTTTAACATGCGTTCAGAATTACTATACCCACTACTAGCGCCCCTTCAATTTATCATCAAGTTTCTTAATCTCATATCTAACATGGCATTAATTGTACAAAAGTTATCCTACTGTATCAACTACTGTAATTTGACTTTTACTTGTCATACTCTGAAAATTTCAAAAAAATCGCACTCCATGGTTCTTGCGGCATAACATACTATTTTCAGAATCATATGAGAAGGACCATATTTCCAGTCTTTTTAGTGGTTTTTCTACTGAAAAGACACGTCTCCGGATATGCAAGTGCTCCAGGAACATATCCAGAAGAAGAGATGAAGGCGGGAAATGACCTTGAAGTTCCAAAGAATCCATACCAGAGCGCATGGACTGGTTATGAGTTTTACTATGAAAAGGAGTCGAAGAAAAGTTAGTGATTCTCAATGAGACTAGTACCAGTCGGTTTACGCCCCCTATCGGGGGCTCAACCTCCTGGCTTCCGCTTACTGTATCTTACAATCCAATTTCTAAATTAAAAATTTTTGAATTTCCGAAGTCACAAAGGTTTCTCAGGTTTACTGAAATGTCTCCGAAAATTCCAAATTTTAAACAGTCAGTTCGTGCCCCTCACAGGGCTGAACCTCATGACTCCCTCCCACGGTACATATCTTATAGACAGGTTTTGTCACTTTTTCAGGGACTATTTTTCATGGTCTGTTAGAAAATTTCGAAATTCGATATTTTGATTATAAAGAATTCCTAGAATCCGGAAAGCCTGCCGAAATGTATGGAATTTCGAAAGTTGTGAAAGTCAGAAATATCCCAATCTAGACTTTCTGAGTTTCCTATCATTCAAATTTACTCATTTTCAAATTCGCTACTTTCTGAATTACCGAATGCCCTTCCTATTTTTTGAAAATTCATGAAATCAGATATTTTGAAACTTTTGACTTGAAAATCTCAGAAAACCGGAATTCCAAAATTCGGAGACCTAAAAATGGGAGATTCTGAACCGAGTGGGCAACTTCTGCTTTTAATACCCATAATCATGCAAAAAAGTACAAATTAGTCACTTTTTTCGAGGTTCGACTTTTTGTTCAGATTAAGGCCATGACTCTCTGAAGTTCAGAAAATCGAGAATTTGAGAACCTGAAAAATTTGAAATTCAAAAAGGCTTCTATTACAGGAACCCTTCAATTAGAGGGGGCCCTTCTATTTTTCTGGTCATTTTTTCCGTAATTTTTCATTGAAAAATTCGACGATTTTTTGTTAAAATTCTTGAAAAGCTATCAATTTCACCAAAATTGAGCAATTTTTTTTCAAAAAAAGTTTTAAAACAAATATCTATCAACTTGTAGAATTCCCCGAATATTTTTTACTGAAAACGTACGGAGTTTTCGAATTTCAAAAAACATTTTGAAGAGGATCCTTTTTTACAAACGGCATTTCTAAAACGGGGGTCATTCAATTTTTTCAAGCCTCTCTCGGAGGGGAAGACGTCAGAAAAAATTTCGAAAAGTAAAATAGTCGGGCATCATCTTGCTGCTATTTCGGGTCATCTGTGAAAATTTGGAAAATTTTGGCCCATTAGAGACTTCGCTAGGCTAGGTGAAACCGGAACACACGGACACACAGACAGAATTTGGTGATTGTTAATAGTAAAGATTCGACGTCCTAATTTTTCAGACCCAGCATATGTAGATAGTGGGAAAATGCCAGCGTTCCAGTCAATTGAGGAAGTTTCCTCGGATCGTGAATCTCCAGCAGATCCTCAGAACCTTGCATATCAAGCTTCTGGATCAGAAGGTAGATCATCAACCAAGCATACATCAACTTCAGTAGCTCCAGAGTCAGTAGAAGAAAAAGTAACTGAAAAAGTTTTGGTTTCTCCAAGTTCCAGCATCAAAGGTAAGTGTTTCATATTGTATCTACAACAGTGTGATTCACTTCTTCACTTCTTCACTTCTGTCACATGTCATTTGTCTACAGATGTGCCTGTAACCACTATCGCACCAATCTTCACAAATGTCACAGTATCCACGTCACCAACACCATCACTTAGTTCAAACCCACCATCACCAATAGATCCGGAAAGTGGATCAGATGAGTTGGCTGCTGATCAGACGTTGTACGGGGGAGACCAAGAATCTAACGAAAAAAAAGAGGCAGAGAAAGGTGTGTGAGAGAGAGAGAAAGAGAGATGATATGAAATATTTAGAGTTTTCTGAACACTATCTTTTTCCCAACCCCTTTAATAATCACCCTTTTTGCACAGACTCCATCACTACCATTCCACCACCACTTGTTTTTTCACCAAAACTATCAATGTCACGTGACCCACCACCTCCTTCATCGACACCAAGAAATCTACTAACCATGCTGATCGAAAAGAAAAATGGAGATACTGCTGAAGATTCTCATGAGTCCGGGTATGAACCGGGAAACCCGAAAAATTCCAAGTGGAGTGAAAAGAAAGGACGAGCACCTGGAACAGAACCAAAATCGGCCGGGGATCATAAGTCGTTTATTTTAAACACGGCTGAACAGACTGGATATGAGAATTCTCTAGAAAAATCTTTAACACCTTCATTCGCATCTCAAGATACTAATCAGAGCACAGCTTATTCTGGTTACCCAGAAAATATTGGATCGTCCAAGTCATCCCCAAAAGCGGATCCAATCAATGCTGAAAGTTCAGAAAGTTCTGGTTACCCAGGCAGTTTTGGAACATCTCCACAACCTCCGGATTCTTTTAGAGGCGCTCCACAAGAAAAACCAAGCTTAAAAGCGGTTCCAACGGCCTTCTCGAGAAATTCCATAAATCCTGAAATTACTGAAATGTCTCTTATTTCTTCCACTGTATCATATGAGGCGACTACCCCTACCACCACTGTACCCTCGGACTCAGATGATTATGCTCAAAATGAACCGCAAGCTAATCCGTTAGTGCCGGAAAGTTCTAGAATTTATCCAACTCAAGAAACTCAACCCAGTCCGCCTAAACAACCTCCAACACTTCAACCCTACAGTAACCCATCTATCCCTAATCTCAATCATCATAGTGTCTCCCAAGAGCTCCATGGGGAAACACTAATTCCAGAAGCTCAAATTGATTATGGAACCATTCCTAGCGACCCAATTCGACTTGAAAACTACAGTAACCCAGTCACATCAAACCATGGAAATTCACCCGGCAGTGAGCCAAGCCTTGAACGTCCTGCACCTCAATCTGTGATAAGCCACATATCAGATGTGGTAAACTATAACAATCATATTGACAAGCTGCCAAAACCTACGTCACCTATAATAGAAAACGCTTGGAACTATAGGAACTCAAACAACGCGATTTCGGCACGAGACCAATATGATCACTTTGGCACTGCCCGTCATCACCCAGCACCACCATCACCACATCAATCTTTATCACAGAAGCACTTTACACATGGAAGTTTTGAAGAGGATCCAAGTGATGAGATGGACGGCGGATATGATAACAATGACGTCATCGTTGTTCCTTTAAGGTTTACAATTTTCAACTTAATACTCGGTCACCCTTTTCAGCACGTTTCTTCACTTTCAGGTCGAGTGCATCATCATCACATAGCACTGCCAGCACTACAAGCAACACTGAAGTTCGTGCACAAATTTCAGAGATCGATCGAATTGCTGGTACCATAAATTTGAATTTATATAGATTTTCAGATTTTCATATTTTATTTTTCCAGAATCATTTGAAAATTCGGCACGCGAGCCTGTGGAATACGAGCAAAAGATCACAAGCGAGTCTTCCAAAGGGATTACTGTAGAAGCTGGAAAAGAAATCATGAAGCATTTGGGAAGGAAATCCAGGAAATGTTGTTCGTGCTGTGATGAAAAACAACCAGTCTCTAGAAATATTGAGACCAAGGTACATACAGAAAATAGAGATGAGACAAAAAACCACTAATTTTCTAGGCCGACCCACATCACGTACAACAGGCAGTCGACCCGTCAAGGCAGCTGGGTAAGTATGCACTCTCTTAAAATGTTTTTGCATGATAGTAATTTTCAGGTGAGCGTGATCCAGTGGAAAACTATGTACCACTCCAAAGCACAGTTGGAGGAAACGCCTATGTGCAACAACCAGCTGCACCACCACCGCAACAGTAATTTTAAAGTTTTTATGCGAATTAAGTTTTTTTTTCAAAACCTTCAGAACCTACTACCAACAGCCCTTCCAACAATATCAATCTCAATATCCTCAATCTTATCCATACCAACAACCATCATCTTGTGGCTGCCAACCTCAACCTCAAAATTGTTGTGCTCCACCTGCACCATGTTGTCTTCCAACTATTCCATGTTGCCCACCGATCCCATGTTGTCCACAACCCAAAATCTGCTGCCAGCCGACACCAATCTGTCTCCCTCCTCAACAATGTTGCTCGATTAACTTTAAGCTTCCAACGATTCCAATCTGTGGCAGGGCTTGTCCATCATGTCCTTGCCGTAGAAGAGTCCATAAGTCCCTTCGTCTGAAACGACACGCCATTTCGTCCAGCTGTCATCAGTGCTCCGCAGCTGGCGAGCCATGGAAATCCGTACTCCATCAACACAGAGAGAAGAGAGCTGCTCCAGGTTGTTCATCTGGATTCTCTACAGTGCAACAAAACTCTTGCGGAACCTGTGGAGCTTCAAACCTGCGATCACCACGTGTCAAGCGTATGGGATGTCTTCCATGTCTTGGAAGAAAAAAGAGAGATACCGAGGAGAATTCGCATATTAGAGTTAAGAGAATGGTAATTAATCGGTAACAAGAATATGATGCATATTTAAAAAAAATACAATTCTAGGGTTGTCTCCCATGCCTGAACGGTAGAAAGAAGCGTAGTGCACTGAGCTCTGGATGTTCCCAATGTAACAGTTTGGGACATTTGTTCAATAGATACAAGAGAAGTCTTTTTGGATGTTCACCATGCACTTCACAGCCTTCCTGTGGTTGCCAGGGTCGAAAGAAACGGTCTCTGACAGTCAAAATGGTCAAGAAAGCTCCTGAACAATGTGACGCGACATGCTGTGACTATTCAAGGTACTCAATCCGTAACACCTGTAATAAAAGCACCCGTCACATGCTTCAGTAGCTTTGACCCAATTTATTCCTTTAAAATAAGCAAACATTGATATAGTAGCAAAATGTTCATAATATCAGAAGTAGTAGGTCAATGTGATTGGAGTCTTTTTTGTCGAATTAAAAAAAGTGGGACCTGAGAATTTGAAAGGCGTAGCTTTTTTAATCTACGAAAAAGTGCGGCAAAAAAGAAATATTTCAGACTTTCGCCTTGTTCGAGCTACTTTCGCAATTAAGTTCGGTTTTTCGATGAAAGGCAGATTCTAGAGATGCTAGCAATCATTTTCATACCAAGAAATCTAATTTTTGTCCAGAAAATTCCACTGAATTCACAAAAATAAGTTTCGTTTACTACTGTTGTGATTTTGAGGCAAGGCCTCGAAAGTTGACCGGGAAGCCGCCCGCGAAATTTTCCAGGTCTCACTTTTTTTTAATTCAACAATATTACATTTTTAAAGTAATTTTATAATAAGAACTTTTTGTTGCAGATGTCAAAATCGACAGAAGAAAGAAACTCTGGTTCCATTCATGTAAGAACTCTTACGATTCTGAAGTATTTTCCATCATAATCAAGACACCTCCAAGACGGGTAATTCCATGTAAAAGCTACATACACCTCTGATATTTTGTTAGCAAGTTCTGTATTTATTTATTTTCTCTATTTTGGAATACAATTAAAATCTGGAATGTTTATCTGTTACAAGGAGTAAAAAAAGATAGGAGGGAATGGAAAAGTAACCGGGAAACCCGAAACTGGGATGGATTATGGGCCGGAATGATTGGGATAGAGGAGACAAGAAATGTGGACGAACGAGAATTAAAAAAAAATGAGATGGGGTGGGGAAGAATATACCAAACTAGAGCAACATTCATTTCAGTAGTTTCCTACTCTTTGGAAAAACCGGAGAATTGGACAGAAACTTACAGCTAACACCTTCAATGAAAAGGGCAAACGGGCTATTGACGCAAGATAATTAGATGTCATCATTCTTCATAAAACCATTCATTTTTGTATTGAAAAAATCAGTTGGACTACTCGAGGAAGGCATCTCGAAGACGTTTTGAGCCTGCTGCTGCTGCTCATCGAACAATTGTAATTGGCGTTGGTAGCTGGCGATTTCCAGACGGAGTGCCTAGAAATTTTATAAATTTGAAATGTCCTACTTTCTACTACCGTGTAAACTGTAAGAATGCATCATCCCCCTTACCGTTACGTTTACCAATCTGTAAACACCGGCACAAGAGATTACGTATATCTCTTGAGAGGGCTTCTGATACAGTGAAAGCTTCTTCTTCTTTGTATATTACATCATTGCCCCCATTCTCCGCCCAAATCCTGCATAGGCAAACCAGCTCTTACCTGTTGTTTCAAATGTTCCGTCAACAACTTCGCATCTGCCAGCTGAAGCTTCTTTTCCACCAATGATGTTTCTGGACTAACATCTCTTGTTTCTCTCTCATGAATCACGAACGCTGGATCACTTTGCATGTCCTCCTTATTTTTTTCTTCTTTCAATTCTTTTTGTTTCATCTCCAGATGAGCTTGTAGTTGCTGTAACTGCATTTCAGTTCTATGCAATCTCAATCGTTTTGCTTTGGGGCCATAAGAGGCTTCCATGATATCAGATGCAGAATCGGCATCCTCCTGCTTGACGTCCTGTTCGTTTATCATGATCTCTGCTAACCCTGACATCCAATCCGGAACAGGTCCGCGAGCACGACGTTTTGGCTCCGCCCAGCTGAACTCTGCATATCTCTCGATTTCCGATCCCCCACAAATGTTGGTGATACCGAGTTTGTGGGCATGCTTGCGAGAGAATTTCCTGACAAAAGAAGGGTTTACGTCATATTCAATTTCCTTCGTACACCTACCTCATATCCCTAATCCGTTGCTTTATCTGAGCCGGAGTGCGCTCCGCAAATCCCATCGCTGTTATTTCTGTCGCCCACTCTCTAGCCAACGCATCCATTGGAACTTCTTCATTTCTCTGTCCGGACGGTCTTGTAGAATGATACTCTTCTCTTCGATTGGAATACAACTCGTACAGTTTCATGTTCTCGGCTTCTGAAAACGCCAGAATGCAGCGTTTCCGACGTGAATCGTCCTTACCATTGAATCCAACTGTTTTCGGTTTCTCCTCTGGTAGCTGATTTTGGAGTGCGAATTGGGCACGTAGAATGTGACCTATTGATGATTGGGGAGTGATTGGGGCTTCGATTAGTTTTTGGGACATTCTTATTGACATTCCGATTAGCCTGGAAAGCAAAATAAAAAATAAAAGGGACAGATGTTCATAAAACGAATGTTTGTCATGGAATTCGAAGAGGGAAGTAGACAACAGGTGGTCAACATGATTTTTTAGGGTAAAAAGGTCGCATGCAGAGTAGGGAACAAAAGAGACTTTCAAAGATTGTAAAGTTTGACATCCATACGTAATCATTGTTCAACTCACAATTAGTTCAATTTTCAAAAAAATCTGTTATAGAGAAAAGTGTGCCTCATGAAAACTTTGTTGGTTTAAAGTTTATCTATGTTCATAATAAATAGAAAACAATTAAAAGCTGAAAGCATATCTAGTAAGCTTAGGAATTTATATTGAAATTGAATCCAGCGGAAAAAAAAGTGATTGGGAGCGGGAGTACGAGCTGACTGGGAGGACCTAGTATAAACATAGGCGAAAAGGGAGCAGATGTGCCTGTGTCTACATTGTGTATATGTCCCCGGGAAGGGAAAGCAGTGGGGACGACTGAAAAGCGATGGGAGGGGCGAGGGAGCATGAAGAGAAGAATTGAAGTAGACCGGAAGAGACGGACGCAGATGGCATGGGCTCTCTGCATCTCTAACCGTCTCGGCGGCTCCCGCACACTATCTTCTGATCCATGTAAGGGAAGACGATGGAAGGGAAGAGTGGGAAGGAGAGTGAGCCCGCGACGGCCAAACCACGTCTTCAAGAGACGGCACGGGCGCGGGTGAGTTTGAAAAGGAGGAAAGGAGAATAACAAAAAATGTGTGCTTTGTGCATTTTGTTATTTGCAATATCTAGTAGGAGTGGAATTAGAGAGGGGATTACTGTAAGAAAATAGAAAATTCAGGTTATTAGGATCAAAGCTAAATCTTTCATGTTTCATGTCGGAAAAATTGGGAGTTATGGTCTTATTTTTTGAATTTTTTGAATATTGTCCAAATGGAAGTTAGAAGATAAGAGAGATGAAGATTAATACTAGAGCAAGAGAAATGGAAGAGAATTTCGAGTTCACAAAACTGTTAATCATACAGGATTTGAAAAATAGAAAAATAACTAAACAGATGTTGACTACAATAAAATGAAAGAGATGTCAAACAATTTCCAACTGTTCTCCTATTCTATAACGTAGTTGGATAACTTTTATTATAGCTTTTTTGACTATCTAACATTCATTTTAAAATATGATTTTTGAAGCTTTTTTTTACAAATTTAAAGTACTAGGTTGGAAAGAAAGTTTCTTTCTTTTTTGGCAAAAATTTTGATCGAATTTTTCTCGATGCAGAGGGGGCTAGGTCAATGAAAGAATTGTCCATTAGCATCAGTAATTGTCTGGCAATGCTCCGGTAATTTCTCGATTCCATCGGCCCAGAACGACGAGGGCTGCGTTTGAAAAAGTGAGCCAACTCTTTTTTGGAGTCATCTTTTCAATTGAAGTTTTTTCTATCAAGATGACGTTTGAGAGCTCCAAACGATAATTTATCCGAAAGGGCAAAATCTAGAAAATACGACCAGTACAAAAAAATAGTTCAGCCAGGCGACATGATGTTTTGGCTGACCTCTCTAGTCACGGGCCATCTCGCACTGTCGTGCTGGAAGCGAACTTTGGTTTTTTCTCCTCGTTTTGATTGGACTGCCAAATTCAATTTTTCTAATTAGGAATAGAGTAACGTGTCGACAGAGACTCGTGTCGATTAAAAGAAAAAATAACTGAAAAATCGTCGACTTTTGTCGATTCCTGTCGACAAAAGTCGACGAAAGTCGAAAAATATCGAGACGAGTCGACACGACACCGGCCTAACTTTATGATGGCCTAACTGTTGCAATTTGAATTTTCTAGGCCACTAAAGTTATGACCTAGAAATGGCCTATCATTATCCCGGTGTGATTTCTAGGCCGTTTACCATTGTGGCCTAGAAAACTCAACTTATAAAAGTTAGGCCACCATGTTAAAAGGACCTGGAAAACACATTAGATGAAAATTATACTATTTATTGCATAGACGTCCGGAGTTCGGAATCCGTATTCCGGATCCCGAGAATTTTTTCGTTCCGGATTCCGTATTCCGGACTCCGGAATATTACTTTTATTCCGGACTCCGGATTCCGTGAATTTTTTCTTTTTTTTCGTATTCCGGAAAATTATTGTCATTCCGGATTCCGGATTCCGTGTACCGTAAATTTTCATTTGTCCGTATTCCGGATTCCGAGAAAATTATTTTGTTCCGGATTCCGTCACTCAAAAAAGTCATTCCGGACATCTATGATTTATAGGCATAAAAAGTTTCGCGTCCTAGAAAATTCATTTTGAGAAAATTAGGTCACCATATAGTTAGGCCCGAGTCGTGTCGACTCGGCTAGACATTTGTCGACTTTTGTCGACATTTGTCGACTTTTGTCGACATTTGTCGACTTTTGTCGACATTTGTCGACTTTTGTCGACATTTGTCGACTTTTGTCGACACGATATCGCTCTTGGTGAAGGTCGACACGATTTTTGTCGACTCCTTCAAAACGACATTTTGACTCAAAATCGATCGACAATCGTGTCGACACGTTACTCTAATTAGGAACTTTACAAAGCGGCGGTTATAGTGGTATCTTCATCTAAAAGTTCCCAGTCTCCATTACTTTGAACAACCATCAAACTCATAGCATACCCATTTTTTCGGGAAATTTGGGTTCCGGGACGTCCAGAGCTTTGTCAATCGACTGACCCTTCCGCACAATGTTAGAGTAACTCACCTATTTATCATCTACAGTAGTTAGATCATTCGGCCAACTGAACGTGTGGAGAAATGATAGGAGAACCATGCTCATGTCCACATGGCGATTCATATCGTAGTCATTAAAAAGATGAGGTCCGAATCAACCCGGTTTTAGGTTTTGCCAAGAGATTTCAATCCCTTCACCATACTTGGTTGACTATCGGATAATGCCTTTGACATTTTACGAGTGGTTTGAAATAGATCCACCTCCACGACATTTGGCAATTGATAAAGATCCGGCTCACTAGGCCGTTGCCATCATTCAAACCGAACTCTCCTGGGCGGAATTTCTCGAACCAAACGCTAATGGCAGGCGTTGACGGAACATGTCCCTTATATACATCCACCATTTGTATGCGAATACCATGTGTTTGAAGACCAGAACAAATTTAAAATATAATCATGGTGCGAATGTACAGTCGGATAAGGACCGAAAGAATTGTCATTTCTCCAACACAAAGAGAGATAAAAATTTAAAAATCTAGGATCTGATAGACACTGAACACAGCTCTCCAACAAAAAAAATTTGGCCCGCTAAACCACTTGGATGACCAGATATCGCGCGTCAAAAACGACACTGCCAAAAAGAAAGAAACTTTCTTTCCAACCTAATATAAAAGACGCAAAAGAAAAGCTATTATCACTCCTAAAGATTTCAAGAAAATTAAGAAAGCTCTTCCTCGTTTCTTCACGCGTCCTCTTTTTTATCATCGAAAAAAGGTACAAAAACAAGAGACACATAGAAAAATGATGCTCTTTTTCACTCTCTCCTTCCAACGAGTTTTTTGGCTATATTCAATGTTTTTGCTTTTTTTCTTTCCCGTATATCTCCTCTTGTGGAGTTCCGCTGAATGAGCTACTTCTCATCCTTCTATCTTCTTATTTTGGGAAGTTAGTGGGAGCTCTCTTCGCATGTCTCTTTCAGTGTCTCGCTCTTCCGTCGCAGCAATATGCGGGAGCAATATCAGAAGAGAAATAGCAAAACGAAGGCCGAAATGAAAGTCGGGGTCATGAAATTCAAAGGTGTCTGTGAAAAATTGGGAGTGTTACGGTGCTGGGTTCCAAGTTTGAAAAGTTGTCCAATATATGTACTTCCTTGCTTTTGGAATAAAGCAAACATCAAGTACAGTACCTACTTAATTTATCAACTTTATCAAATTTGGGGGCCTGAAATATATATTACGTTCTGTTAAGTCTGAAAATATATATGCATTCCTTCTTGAAACCAAAAAAAGTATCGTACATCTATCAATCAGACCTTCTAGACTTTGTCTTTTATAGCTCACGGCCATGATCATTTTGTACTCAATGAACCTAATAAAAATGGAAACACAGTAATCATCTTCCTTATTAATAAAACGCTAGAGGCGTCTGTCCGTCCTCGTGCCCGTCTGTGGACTTGAAAAAATTGAAAAATACATATATATATATATATATTTACGTGACCCTTTATTTAGAAAGAGTGAGAAACGAAGCGACGAACATTTGAAAAAATAGATTGAATCGCGCCGAAGGCGCACCAGCTTGCTGGTTCAAATAACTTTTTTGTTCAAATCATGTTATCAGAACATTTATATTTTCAGGTAAAATATGGACTACTACTTTCTTTTCTTTTTCCCAATTTTTCAATGATCACTGATCCTCTCCCACAAAATCAATAGAACCTCTCTATCCCCCACCTCGGGAGCTTGTTCCCTCCCAAACGTATTATTGTAAAGTGTCTGCGCCTCTTTAAATCTTCTCGATTCTTCGAAGATTTGAAAACTCCCAGTATTAATCTTGCCTCGAAATATCTAAAATGTCCATAATCCAATCTGCTGGAAAAGGCGTCACCCAGGTTGTTGAACGATGCGAAGCAGCCAAAGAATCTGGTTTTTTAGGTCAGAATTTTCCAAAACTTTGCTTTGTATAGTTCAAATTCTAGATCTCTCTTCTTGCCAACTGATGTATATGGCTGATGCAGTGTATATGCTTATAAAGGGTCATGAAATCACTAGAGTATGTTTTAATAATTAGATATATAAAAATTTCAAAGTTTTCAGATCAGCATCCAGGACAATTCCATGAAAAAGTTCCCGAAGAAATTAGTGATCAAGTTTCCAACTGCCACTAGTCATTCCTATCACACAATTCAGCTCTTCATTTTCATTTTTCAGTCCTCAATATGGCGAACAACGAAATCACCGAACTCCCTGAAGAAATCTCCTCGTGGACCAGTCTCAAAGGCCTGAACGCCGCAAAAAACTCGATGACGAAGTTTCCAGAAGCAATTCTACCATTGAAGAATTTGATTCACCTTGATCTGAATGGGAATGATATAAATGGTGTGTTGGGCTGAGTTTCTGAAAATTCATTTGGAATTTGCAGAAATCGAAGTGGTACTTCTATACTCGTCACTTCCAAATCTAATCAAATTAAATTTGGCGGGGAATGTGAATCTGAAAGAAGAGGTGAAGCTGAAATTGAAAAACTTGAAGCCGGAGAAAATGGAATTAATTTTATAATTATAATTTGATTTGAAAAATATATTTCCAGAAATGGATGACATTGAACTTATATCGCCATTTGCAGTAATTTTCCGAGATTTGATTTTTTTTTCCAGATTGTTCTTTATTTTAATGTGAGCCTGTTTTTTAATGTTCTACCTATTTTCCTGCAATAAATTGTATATTTATTTTTCTCTGGCTGTGCATTATGTCGTGATTGTGTTTGCGGTTTTATTGACCATCGCTCCTCATTTCACTGACACCAGTCCGAATTTATTTTTAAACAGCAAAAAATGGTAAGTTTTCCACAGAAGAACTTTCCAATTATAAATAATTTCGGATATCACTGGAAGAGATGTTACGAGAAGCAGCGAATGAAGTGTTACAGTCGAGAATTCCACATGGATACGTTCTAATACCAGACTACGGGCAGTACTGGTCAGAAGAGCAAAGAATGTATTACGATCCGAACACTGAACTATTCTCCCGACCCGACGATGAAACTGTGTATCAACTGAACGCCGATGGAACGGAATTTGTGCTAGTTGAGCGAAGAAAAAAGAGTAAGCAACTTAAATTAAACAAAAAAAATATTTGAAATCAATTCCAGTTTTCAGCCTACTGGTCGAGTCGTTGCTATAAGAGGCGTGCGAATGAGTTGCTCGGAGAGCGAGAGTTCAAAAAATTCGATCAGAACGATGTGAATATCTGTGAGATTGCGTTAGGAATGGTGGATAAAGTTGTGAAGAAAGAGGAAGATGAGAAGGAAAAAGAGTATCTTCGAACGATAGCTGATAACAAGGTTGCCATGATCAAGCACCGATTCAACAAGGTTTTCAAGGATAATAAGAGAAAAAAGAATCCGCATAGGGTAGGTTCTGAGCACAAAATGAAACAAATAGTTACCTACTTTCAGCAATACGTGGTGTCTACTGATGAGTCTACTGGCAACGTAGAACATAAGCTGAAGGAAGATGACTACTTTGATTGGGAAGATCCATTTGAGGAGAACGATGTAGACGAATTTAGCGATGGAGAGGAGCAAGAGATATTGATGCAACGTAAGTCTGACACAGCTGTCTTCATCAACTTCTGTATTTTGATTGAAATCTCTTCATTTCTCAGAAGAGCGTTTCGATCAACCACCATGCTTGCGAATAATGGATCAACAACGACGACTGCACATTGTTACCATTTCTGGTGGCTATATTGGCTCGGATCGAGATTGTGAAGTAGTCATGTCGAATTCGTTGATGCCTGGACAGTGTGCTGAATTTGGGTTTTCTGAGGAAGCGCAGTGCTATTCCATCGAAAAGTTAGAGTCGTCCTGTTTTATTCAAGTGAATGGGAACACTGTGAAGGTTTCTATTCCTAGCTTTCCATTAAAAAGTTCTAATTTTCAGTCTGGATCGCCAGTCGATTTGTGCCAAGGTGACTCAATTCTGGTCAATGGAGAACAATTTGAAGTTCATGTTCATTTTGGAAATAACACTTGCCCTGGATGCGAACCTGGATTATACGTAGAAGAAGAAAAAGAAGTTGAAACGATTCAAGCGAAAAATATAAGAGGCGAATACGCTAGAAGAAAGAATTTGAAGCAGATGATGAAGTCTTATGGGATTCGGCCAGACGAGGAGCTTAGCCAGCCGATTCGGAAGCGGCCAGCGACAGGAGTATCTCTTCAAAATATTCAGCGAAATGATGTTCCTTCGATTTCAAGTGATATGTATGGAGGGTGTTCAGCAAAACCAGTTGAAGTGGGACAACGGAAGTTTGATTTGCCAGCTAGCTCAAATGCTCCAACACTTTCAGCCCCTAAACCATTGGATTCTGGAAACGTTGGTTTCAAACTTCTCAAATCTATGGGATGGTCAGAGGGACAAGGATTAGGTAAAGAGAAACAAGGACATGTGGAACCGGTGGCAACTGAGATCAAAAACAATCGGCAGGGACTTGGAAATGTTAAAGAACAGCCGAAGAGTTATAAAGATCAGATTTTGGAGACAACCAAGAAGCGGTTTAATGAGGTTAGCTAGGACTGATGATACAAAACAAACTAGAAAATTTTCAGAAACGTTGAGACACCAAGTTCAAGACACTGGCAATGGAATGAGGTCATGATAAATTTTGTTGTCTGTAAATAAATGATGTCCTATCTTTCTCTCTCTCCATAATGCGTTCGTCGTAACAACATTTCACAACACACACCGCACATATTTTATGTTCAGCACAATGAGCAGAAGAAAAAGAAAAAATCGGGTCAAAGAAAGCAGTCACAAACCATGAAAGTTACAGATAATGAGGGAAAGAGAAACAGGCGGAGTAAGAGAAACCTGTCTTACGTCACGATTCGACACAAAAATTGGAGGGATAAAGAATAGAGAGCATCAGAAACAAGATGTTCCGAGAAAAAAAGATTTTTGAGTTTTCAAACGATCTGTGAAAGTAACACTTGAACATTTCAGATTGGAAAAACCATTAAGGAAATTCTTTTGAATTTTTCAGAAAAGCGGAAGATTTTGACCTGGAAAAAAGATTGAAACGTTGACTTGGAAGACTTTTCAGATACCACGTAGAATTTGTAGAAGATTTTTTCCTCAAAAGTAATCTGGGAAGCATTCGTCGTATGTTTACAGAGAGAAAAAAAAGAAATAGATTCTGATATCCCAAATTAACGGAAAACTGGAACAATTAATAGAAATGGCGAATCTTTTGGCGGATGCGAAAATTAGGGGGTATCATGCGGTAAACACGATATATGGGTATTATGGTAGCATGTAATCTAGTTTTCGGGGGTACAGAATTTCTGACTGATTGGAAGACCGAATTTCAATTCAACTGTACAAAAATACAATTTACAAAAAAGGTTGAACCACTGTACTGTGATTTGTACCCCAAAATATGATCATGTGACTTGCTCCTTGAATTGAAGAAACTTGGATTTTTGTATTTCTGCTGGAACTAAAAACTTATTTCTACATTGGACTATCATCATTAGCAAAAAGAATTGTGTAACAGATAATGCTAAGAGAATTCTGAAAGTTTTATTCCAAGACTTTTTATAAAACCCCAGAAATCAATAACCCCAAAAAACCTTCAAAACTCTATATCTTTCCTGGAAATTCTATTTTTAGACCATTTCCTTGATTATGATTCCTTTTCCAAAAACGTTTTCTAAATTTCTATTTTCGGTCGTTTTTTCCTTATCGCTAATCTGTCGATTCTATTTTCAGATTGCAGATTTCCTTTATTAATAATTCAGCAGTTTCAGATTCAATTGTATTGAAACTGAATTTAACTAAAATCCAAATGATGATCTTTCCATAAACATCAGTTTCTTCTACCAAATTGTGCCATTCGAAATTCTGTGTCTTTTCAAGAAAACACAAGTCAGAAGGAGGTTTTCCCATTTTGCTCCTCTTCGAATTTTTTCGTTTTGTGACCAATTTTTCTGATAACACATCACCCTAAATGTTGATAAAACCCCGGGTAAAAAATTGAGTACACTATCAATTGTTCAGTCATTTCTGCCTTTATGGAGTTTTTTTTTCGATTTCTAAACACCTATTTTTCAATACCCGATTGGATTTCAGATATGCTGCGAAACGGCAGTCTCCGTCGGAGTCTTCGGACTCTAGACTCTTTTAGTTTGGCTCCCGAAGATGTGATAAAGACTACATTGAAGACTGTGGAAGAATATGAAGGGTAATTTAGCTTTCAATCAGTTTATCTATTTCTTCCCTAAATAGTATGTTGGCATCTTTAAACCATTACTATCATCTTATTCATTATTTTTCCAATAAAGAAACTAAAATTTGTGAGATCAAGAAATGTGTCGAAAACGATAAACAGTTTGTATTAATTCATGATTTTTTAAAGTCTTTATTGCGGGCTCAGACAAAATAGGTCACAACCTTAGTTTCTTTGTTTTCAGATAACATCTGGAGATCTATAATAGTGTCTGTAACTTATTCGAGTCATATTTAAGTTTAGCAGTACATTTACCAACTATATAGTTGTATTTTTCCAGTAGGTATTTTTTGGGTGAGATGTTTCAAGTGTGAGTGAGGTGACTTTTAATTTCCCAGAAACAATGTACCAGTCTTACTTATGCTCCAATCTTGTTTCCAGAGACAATATCGATGAGAATGGGGAGATCAAAAACACTAGGGATGCCAAGGATGCAGTTGTTAATAAAGTCACAATTCCTCAATTGGTAGGCTCTCTTTTTTCTTTATTTAGAATCGAAAGTTTGGAAACATTAAAAGGAATGAGCTGATAAGCCTGCTAGCAAAGTTGGCATGCACTTTGATAAGTTGGCATACTCAGCTGATGCTGGAATTTAGGTCACAGAAAGTGTGGAGCAAAAACCTTTCGAGTTATTGTAGTCAAAATTGATCATTGTGATCTGCAAAACTATAAAATCATAATGATCACGAACTTGGCAATCAAAACAGTTATTTTATAACCGCAGAACTAAACTGATAAGGATCCAGAACAAAAAGGAATTCAAGAACATTTTTGCAGTATCGATACACAACAATGACGGAAAAGATAATGTTGTTAGTGGGAACAATAGTGGCAATCATAACTGGAGCTGGTCTTCCATTGATGTCAATCCTACAGGGACAGGTGTCACAGGCATTCATTAATGAGCAAATTGTGATTAACACTGGAAATCATACAAGTGAGTAGAAGAGAAAATGTGAAGCGGAAAATAACAGGAAAGCCTGAAAAAGTAATAAGAAGTTAGAAGTAAACTTGTTTAATGATTCTGAACACATTGAAGAAAACCAAACAATAACATATTAATTTGTGTTTTCTTTTTATACAAGTCTTATACCATTCCAGTTCCTCCAAACGGACGCAACTACACAGACTCCGATTTCAACCATGATGTTATGCAAGTTGTTTGGCTTTATGCTGGAATGACCATTGGAATGTGGGCAGCTGGTCAGATTACTGTAACCTGCTATCTTTATGTAGCAGAACAAATGAACAACCGATTGAGAAGAGAATTCGTAAAAGCCATCTTGAGGCAAGACATATCTTGGTTTGATACAAATCACTCCGGAACCTTAGCTACAAAACTTTTTGATAACTTGGAAAGAGTGAAAGAAGGAACCGGAGACAAAATCGGGATGGCCTTCCAATACATGAGTCAGTTCATCACTGGATTTATTGTGGCGTTTACGCACAGTTGGAAATTGACACTTGTCATGCTAGCTGTAACTCCTATTCAAGCACTTTGCGGATTCCTGATTGCCAAGTCTATGTCAACATTTGCGATACGAGAAACTGTACGATATGCAAAAGCAGGAAAAGTAGTAGAAGAAACAATATCTAGTATTCGGACTGTTGTTTCGTTAAATGGTCTGAGACACGAACTCGAGAGATACTCAACGGCCGTGGAGGAAGCCAAAAAGTCTGGAGTGTTGAAAGGACTGTTCTTAGGAATCTCATTTGGAGCTATGCAAGCAACTAACTTCTTTTCTTTTGCATTGGCTTTTTATATCGGTGTAGGGTGGGTACATGATGGATCCCTGGCACCTGGAGATATGCTCACGGTATTCCGAATAACTCATTTCATCACTAAATTATGAATTTCAGACGTTCTCTTCTGTTATGATGGGATCCATGGCCCTTGGTCTTGCCGGTCCTCAACTAGCTGTTCTCGGAACCGCCCAAGGAGCAGCTTCCAGTATTTATGAAGTTTTAGATAGAGTAAGTTATTTTTTATTTTTCAAATCCATTTCTTATTTTTCAGAAGCCAGTGATCGACTCATCTAGCTCTGCTGGCCGTAAAGATATGAAAATCAAGGGTGACATAACTGTGGAGAATGTTCACTTCACCTATCCATCCCGTCAAGATGTTCCCATTCTTCGTGGAATGAACCTCCGTGTCAATGCTGGTCAAACTGTTGCCCTTGTCGGATCCTCTGGTTGTGGAAAGTCTACGATTATAAGTTTGCTGCTCCGTTACTATGATGTATTGAAAGGAAATATTACAATTGATGGAGTTGATGTTCGTGATATAAACTTGGAGTTTTTAAGAACAAATGTGGCTGTTGTCTCTCAGGAGCCAGCGCTTTTCAATTGTACTATTGAGGAGAATATTAGAGTGAGTTGAACTGAATTTATTAATGTTATAGTTTATTTTCAGCTTGGAAGAGAAGACATCACTCGTGAGGAAATGATTGCTGCTTGCAAGATGGCAAACGCTGAGAAGTTTATCAAAACATTGCCAGCTGGATATAACACACTTGTTGGAGATCGTGGTACTCAATTATCTGGAGGACAGAAACAACGTATTGCCATTGCTCGTGCTCTTGTTAGAAACCCAAAGATCCTTCTTCTGGATGAAGCCACGTCAGCACTGGACGCAGAATCCGAAGGAATTGTGCAGCAGGCACTGGATAAGGCTGCCAAGGGACGTACCACGATTATTATTGCCCATCGTTTGTCAACTATCAGAAACGCAGATTTGATTATTTCTTGTAAAAATGGACAAGTGGTGGAAGTCGGTGATCATAGAACTCTGATGGCGCAAGAGGGTCTCTATTATGATTTGGTGACAGCTCAAACATTCACAGATGCTGTTGATGCTTCAGCTGGAGGCAAATTCTCTAGAGAAAACAGTATTGCTCGTCAAACAAGTGAACATGAAGGAATCTTCCGTCAAGCGTCGGAACTGGATGATGTGCTTAATAGAGTTAGAAGTTCGACAATGGGATCCATCACTAATGGACCAGTGATTGAAGAAAAGGAGCAGAGAATTGGAAAAGATGCATTGACAAGACTCAAAGAGGAACTAGAAGAGAACAATGCTCAACGAACTAACCTTTTTGAGATTCTCTACCATGCCAAGCCCCATGCCCTTTCTGTCGCTATCGGAATCACTGCTGCCATCGTTGGAGGATTCATCTATCCCACCTATTCTGTATTCTTCACGTCTTTCATCAACGTCTTCTCTGGAAACCCAGATGATATTCTTAGTCAAGGTCACTTCTGGGCTCTTATGTTCCTTGTGTTGGCTGCTGCTCAAGGAATCTGTTCTTTCCTAATGACATTCTTTATGGGTATCGCCTCGGAGTCTTTGACAATGGATCTTCGTAACAAGCTCTTCCGGAATGTGCTTTCTCAACATATTGGATTTTTCGACTCCCCGCAAAATGCTTCTGGAAAGATTTGCACAAGATTGGCAACGGATGTTCCCAATTTGAGAACTGTAAGAATATAGAAAAATGAACTTTAGAAAACCTTAAGTTTTTATAGGCCATCGACTTCCGTTTCTCTACTGTCATCACCACTTTGGTCTCCATGATTGCTGGAATCGGCCTTGCTTTCTATTATGGTTGGCAAATGGCATTGCTCATTGTTGCCATTCTTCCAATCGTCGGATTTGGACAGTATCTCCGTGGTCGTCGTTTTACTGGAAATAATGTGAAGAGTGCTTCAGAATTTGCTGATTCTGGAAAAATCGCAATCGAAGCTATTGAGAATGTCAGAACCGTTCAAGCGTTGGCTAGAGAAGACACTTTCTATTATAAATTTTGCTCCAAACTGGATGTTCCACATAAGGAAGCTATCAAGGAAGCTTTTATACAAGGACTATCTTATGGATGTGCCTGCTCTGTTCTTTACTTGCTCAACACTTGCGCCTACAGAATGGGTCTTGCTTTGATCCTTCACAGAACCATGACTCCTATGAGAGTTCTTCGTGTCATGTATGCCATCACCATCTCTACATCTACTCTAGGATTCGCTACTTCCTACTTCCCAGAATACGCAAAAGCCACGTTTGCCGGAGGAATCATCTTTGGAATGCTGAAACAAAAATCAGAAATTGATAGCTTGACATTGAGTGGAGAAAAGAAGAAATTGTCAGGAAAGGTGATCTTCAAAAATGTTCGATTCGCGTATCCAGAACGTCCACAAATCGAGATTCTAAAGGGATTGAGTTTCTCCGTGGATCCAGGACAGACATTGGCTTTGGTTGGTCCATCTGGATGTGGTAAATCTACAGTAGTCGCTCTTCTCGAGAGATTTTATGATACTTTGGCTGGAGAGGTCTTCATCGATGGATCAGAAATCAAGACATTAAATCCTGAGAATACGAGATCCCAAATTGCGATTGTGTCACAGGAGCCAACACTTTTTGATTGCTCGATTGCAGAGAATATTGTTTATGGATTGGATCGTGCGTTTTTATTATATTTAACATTGTTTTTTTTGGAGTATTCGGTTGAATTTACCAAATTTAAGTATGCGAAAGAGTGATTGTAAACTATCGTAAACACTCTAAGGCCACCCAAACCGCCAACTTTGAGCCAAATTATCTCGGTTCCTGTGAAAGATATAAAGAAGTGCTCAACTAACAAAATATTTATCATAATATCACAAGTATTTTGTCAGCTGACAACTTCGTGATATCTCTTACAGGAACAGAGATATATAAATTCAAAGTTTACAGTTTGAATGGCCTTCTATTAGGGTGTTTACGGTATCTTTGTTTTCAAAATTTCGAACTACACACACACACATTTCCTCAATAGCCCTACTACATCTGTATCTCATTCAGCAACTACTGTAACAATGTCACGTGTCGAGGAAGCTGCCAAACTGGCAAACATTCACAACTTCATCTCAGAACTTCCCGAAGGATACGAGACCCGTGTCGGTGATCGTGGTACTCAATTATCTGGAGGACAGAAACAACGTATTGCCATTGCTCGTGCTCTTGTTAGAAATCCAAAGATTCTTCTTCTGGATGAAGCCACGTCAGCACTGGATACAGAATCCGAGAAAATTGTACAAGAGGCTCTGGATCGGGCGAGAGAAGGAAGAACGTGCATTGTGATTGCTCATCGTCTGAACACAATTATGAATGCGGATTGTATTGCTGTAGTGAACAATGGAACGATTATTGAACAAGGTAATTTACTTTCCATGTTTCCTCTAATTAACTATTTCTATTTCAGGAACCCATTCTGTATTGATGTCTCAACAGGGTGCTTATTACAAGCTGACACAAAAGCAGATGAGCGAAAAGAAATGATATTACTCTTGTCCGAAATCAATGCACGTTGCGGCCGAGAAAACAATGCTGGGCGGAGCTTAGCTCCCACAGAGAGAACCTTACTGTTTTTTTTAAATTATTGCACGCGCCTTTAATACAGTACCTCAACATTTATCGAATTTTCTCAAATTTCTCTCATTTTTTCGCTTGTTTCTGTCTAATTTTGTGTAATTCTTATCAATCTTTAATTTATTTTTTTTATAAAATAGAAAAAAAACCCAGCCAAATAGGGCCCAAAATAAAAAACGTTCGAGGTACGGTATTTAAAGGCGCATGCATCAATTTGTTTTTTCGCTGTGCGACCGACGATGCGATTTTGAGTAAATTTTCGGCCGCAACGTGCATTGATTTCGGACGAGAGTAATAATTGCCTTGTTCAGTCTAAGACACTTTCTCGATCTTGCCGAATTGCATATTATTTTTGTAATATTTTGAGAGTTTGTTATTATTATGAATTTGTTGTTTTCACTAGAGAAAAAGAACCGATTTATTTGACAGCTTCTTCGTTGATTCGGATTGAAGAACAATGTTTTTGGGGCGAGCAGATGTGGTATGACCAATTACAAGTACTAGAGAGAGAGAGAGAGAGAGAAAACCATCTTAATGATAGAGAATATCAGTGATAAGAATAACGAAAAAAAAAACTTTTCCTAGAAGTCGACTGATGATTTCACTGGGATCTACAGACTTTGTTAAAGACTGAACGCGATGGGTAAAGAGATACACCGAAGAAGGAGAAGGGGGAGTTAGGCCGCAATAATAAGAATAAAATAAAAATAAAATAAGGGAAAACTAAGAAACTATTCACAGAGACGAATCAGTGACATCCATTTACAGCGTCGGTGTAGCTCAGACGATCTTCACAGACTGTAGACTTATTCTGGTGGGATTTGTGTTTGGGAGACGTGACGATGTTCATCGTGTTGGAAGATGCTTTGCGATCGACGAGACTCTGTGGAGTACGTTGATGTAGGTTGTGTAGCGGCGTTTCTAAAAAGGATCATGGAAATTATTTTACATTTAGATGGGGAGTAACAAACCTCAAAGCCTAAAAGAACTAATCTATCTGTGATTTGGGGTTGCGGCCGCTCGGGGTAGAGGGATTGTAGTACAACTTCAATCATCTCACTTAACTCGGCCACTCTCGCTTGATGTGTTCTGACTTGTTTGGTGATTGGAGCCAAACATGGAAGCCGTGAAAGACGTGGCATTGGGGCGGTTTCGGGCTTAGCAGTTATTGGTAGCGGAAGAGTTGGGGATGAGAAGGCGGCGGCGACAAAGTTTATTTTTGCACACCACTCATTCAAATCTCGCTCGTTGCTGGTTTGAAACAGAATCTCTCCTCCATGAGCTATACGAACTCTGAAGGCATACGATTTCTTCTTATAATCGGTGGCGGGTTCGGCAAGAGCGTGGTGTAGGGACACAGCGTTTTCAAGTGAAGCGTATCGACTTGTCGCTTTCGGATGTTCATCTGCATCGAAATAGAGGACGAGACCGCGCAAACGAGCGAATACCATTTTCCAGCTGCGACGACCGAATGGCGCTGCAAGTTGTTGTATTAGGGACACATTATGAAACTAATGAACTCACTTCTAGCTCCATCCGCTTCTCTGACATACTTTCTCATCAAAAACGAACTGTGATATTCTACAATTGATTCTGGGTCCACTTCATAGACACGTTGTTGCTTGACATTTGAAGCAGCAGATCCGTTTGCTGTCGAGCTCTTTGCGGAGTGTTGGAGAGAAATCGCATTGTCCTTTATGCTTTGATACAATGTCTTTAACATCTCCCGTTTGTAGGTACACCCGGTATGTCCTATATTCGTGATGAAGTCACGAGAAGTCATCTTCTTTCCAGTGTTTGGGCCATGAAGATCCGAGTTGAGAAGCAAAAGGGCGCATGTCAACGTGTGCACTTCGTCAAGGCTTTCAAAAATCGATGGATTACATTCAAGGTATCTCGCTGAGAATACACGAAGAAGACGTTCTCTAGCTGAAGACTCGCCACGAAGTTCCACACGGCTGAGGAATTCACGGAGAGCTGCATCGATTCGTGTAGTAGAGAATTGGAACAACTCGAGATATTTCACTAGGATCAAGAATGCAAAATCGTTTCTGAAAATTGAATTCGTAAACACCAAATCAAATGATTATTCATACTGTTCATTCAAGCGATCCGCTACATCACTCGATGTGCACGTCTTCAGCTCATATAGTTTTCTGGCAATTTGCGAAGCCTCTCGCTCTCCTCCTACCGAACTCATAGATGTACTCGCTACCTGATTCACAACAAACGCCGAGCTGCTATCTGATTGAATTGACGAAGCAGGGCCACGCTCTGTACCGGAAACAGAAAACAATCATTATTACCAAATTTTGAAGAAATTAACCTACTTTCAGATGCGGCATGAAGAGAGGGGCTAGCTGATGCTGAACTGCTTGTTGGCTGTGCATACTGTGGAACTTTCCCAAATACTTGCTTTCTGAGTGAAGGGGAGGCTATTGAGCTGTGTTTCGGAGTGGCCTCAATAGCACTATAGTAAGCATGCGTCATTTCGTCAAAGGAAGAATGAGGAGCATCGATAGTGACAACAGATCGCTTCGATGGTGTATCGTAATCGTTTTTTGATACTTTTGAAAAGTCTCTAATATCCGATCCATCTAACTCATCAACGTCGTCGTATACTGGAGATCCTGGAGGACCATCTGGAAAGAAAAATTCATTTGGATATGTATTCCTTTACTAACTATTAGGTTGACAGGAAAGTAACTGTCCATTTTTTCATTAGTAAATAACACGAACACAAGAATAATCCAGAATTAGCAATATGCACCGTCGTGATCCACAACATGTTGGCAATGTTCAGGTAACTCGTGGGTACCATCCCTTCAAAAGCCAGCTAGTGGCAAGTCAAAGTATCCCTCCAGTCCATTTTTTCAGGCATCAAGTGTGATAAAGTCCTTAAGCTCCAGATGACGTCGTATACTTTTGAATAATCAATGATCTGATAGAGCTGAATCAAGTCTTTCACTGGGGTAAAGGAGAACCGTCCAGCCAAAGCGGCTCAGGTACGGCGTGACTTTTCGTGAACATGAGGTT